TCTCATGCAAACTACGATCATGAAATTAAATTATACGTGACATCACTAGCCTCACTGTGACGTCACTGAAATTATGGTTAGTAAGGGGAATCATCCCCACATGGCCTTATTTCAGCTATTTTCAAGGTAGTGAAGTATGACAATTAAGCCATATATATTATATATTATGTGTGTGTGATTATATGTATGCTTTACAAATAAACAAGTCTCCATCCAAGATTGTGGTTGGATTCACGTATAATGTGGATTAGAATCGATGTTCCTACAAGATTCCAAGTTCCTTTGAGGGTCAACCAACGTCACAGTTCGCGAGCAGCTGTCCTTTAAGTTTAAATTGGAATCTCTGATAATTCGACATAGCAATGGAAAATTACCTGGCTGGTGGTTTGGAACATGAATTTTATGACTTTCCATATCTTGGCAATTTCATAATCCCAACTGACGAACTCATATTTTTCAGAGGCGTAGGTATAAATACCACCAACCAGTTACCATTTCTTAGAGGTAAATCATGGAACTCAATGTGCAATTTTCCAGTTCGCAAGCTCTTTTTCATAGCCAGAGGGCAACTGATTCACAATCCAGAAACATGGCTGCAAAATCCATGACAATCTCATTCACTTTGATAATTCTCCCATTGAAAAGATGTTTTAAAAATAGTGGGTTTCCCAGCTAGCCATGTTTGATGACACCGTTGCGAGTATTTCCCAAGAATACCCCTATTTTTTATTGCTTAATGTCCCAATCATCACCATAAAAAAACTCATTAAATCCCAGTAAACCTCCATTGTTGCTGATGATCTCCCATCATTTTTACCAACTATTCAATGGCCATTCCAGGAACCTAAATTGGAGGTACCTACCATATATAAGGCCTATGTAAGGGCTATGTAAGGGGATATACCCCCAAAATATGGCCTTATATGGTACAGTACCTCCATTTTAGGATCATTAGGATATGGTGACGCCAAATCCCGCCCCAAACATCGTGGTTAAATCACTGGAAAAGATCGGGTTTTTCCCATTCTACGAAGTGCTTCATCCAGGATTTTCCTTGGCAAAAAAATCCCCAACTTATGGGCTTTCATCCCATGGTTATAGCCACAACTACACCCACAAATATAGTAGATGTGGAGTTAAATATCCATTATGATATACATATAGATATAGATAGATAGATAGAAAGACATAGACATAGACATAGATATAGATATAGACAGAGACGTATATAGATTCCATAGAGATTCCATTGACAGGAGATTGCCCAACACCCCATCACTCCGCAGGCTCTGGAAGAGCCCGACTACATCGAAAGCTCGGATCAACGCATGGTGAAGCCCGCGCCCTCCCTGGATGTCTGTGTTCCACGGCAACAAAGCCTGGACTGATTGGTGCTTTGGAAATGTGGATGAATTCTATGGTTTATGGTAGATATAACTATAGTTGATATAACTATAGTTAATGGGGGTTATTTCATGGTTTATAAACATACCTAAACTACTGATTGGTGGTTTGGAACCATGGAATTTTATGACTTTCCATATATGGGGAATGTCATCATCCCAACTGACTCATATTTTTCAGAGGAGATGAAACCACCAACCAGTGGAGTTTTGCAAAAACCCAGGATTTTACAAGCAGATATTGGCAGATATAGATGATTTATGATTTTACTACAAAAACTGATTCAAAGACATGGTGGTTTTTGCATTCAAAGTGCTGATGCCGTCAAACATGGTGATTTTGCAATCAAACAAGTGAGATTGGTGCACCAAAATGATAAATGTAAGTTTTGACTGCTACAAATTGGGTATATATGTTTATATATATATAATTGAAGAATGATGGCTGGTTGAGTGCGGGAACACCTGCTTGAATAGACATTGCAAAAATGTCCACAATAGGAATACCTGGTAACCGTCCACTAGAATGGGCATAGCGGTGTTTTTCATGTCACATGTATGAGGAAATCCGGGAACATATCTCTCTATCTATGTATCGATCTATTTGTCTATCTATCCATCCATCCATCTATCTATGTATCTATCTATCTATCTGTCTATTTATCTATCTATCGATCGATCGATCTATCTGTTTGTTTGTCTGTCTTTCTGTTTGTCCATCTATTTATCGATCGATCGACCGATCTATCTGACTATCTATTTATCTACATACTGTTTCAATCTATCTATCTATCTGTCTGTCTATCTATCTACCTATCTTTCTATCTATCTATTTGTCTATCTGTCTATCTATGTATATGTCTATCTATCTATTTGTCTATCTGTCTATCTATGTATCTGTCCATCTATTTATCTATCTACCTATCTATCTATTTGTCTGTCTATCTTTCTATCTGTTTGTCTGTCTATCTATCTATGTATCTATCTAGCTGGTTATAATTGTGAACGACCAGATTTTGCACACCTCCCAAGCTGGAGAGCTACAAGCACAGCTACCAGACATGGGGCACGCACCGGGGCAACCGGCTCTTAAGGGCTGCAGCTACTCACAAGCAATAATAACCCATGTTACCAAGCAAACTTGTTTTGTAATGATTTAAAAATTAAGCCCTCTCAAACAAATATATATATATATATGTGTGTGTGTGTATTATTTTGTATATATATATAGTATGTGTGTGTGTATTATTATATACTGTATATATATATACCCTCCAGGAATCAAACATGGCTTGCTGGAACATGCTCATTCAGTTGGATGATTTTCCCATTTCGACCCCCTTCATATTGATCGAAGGAAGTTTAGAAGTCAAACTTCCGACAATATGGACAGACGAAAAGCAGAGATGGATGAAAAGCAGAGATGGAAAGAGTCAGAGAAGAGAAGAGAAGAAAGAAGATCAGAGAAGAGAAAGCGTCAGAGGAAAAAAGATGCACGTGCGCGAAAAGGTAGAAAAGTCGCGATTCACCTTTTTTTTTTCCAATGATTTGTGGCTCCAGAGGGTCAAAAAGTAGGCTCGCTAAATGGGCGGGTGCGGAGCCATCTGGCCAGATGAGAGATGAAAAGTTGCACGCCGTTGTGGCGCGAAGTACATTTCGAAGTCAAAAGTGTAAAAACTTACAGTCTCAGACCACTTTTGGAAGTTGAGATGTCGATAAAGTGCACGCCGTTGTGGCGTGAAGCACATGTGGAAGTCAAAAGTGGAAAAAACTGAGAGGTTTGGAGCACTTTTGGACGTTCGCATGTCGTTTTGCGTGGCAGGCAGAAGGGATTCTGCACCTTGCCAAAAGTGAGCAAAATGCGAGGGTTTTGTAGCATTTCCAAAAACGATGGCAGGCGTGGGGCATCTGAAGAGGATCTGGAAAGATGCACTTCGCGTGGCAGGGGCAGTACAAAAGACATGTTCATCAGAGATGTTAGGAGGTCAGGGCGCTGATTTCCTGAGATGGGTTACATTTTGGAGCATGAGATTTTCAGGTTTGCTGAGATGATTTTGCGTGACAGGCGCAGCACTTCGTATGACCTGGCATCACTTTTTCGTGGCAGGCGCAGCACTTTAGACAGATGGAGTGGAAAAATCGCAAAACGCATTGGCACGAGGCCATCAGCTCTGCACTCAACTTTCCATTTTTGAAGGAAGTCTCGCAGAATTGCTTCGTTTTTGATGTTGTCAACTTGAAAAAATGAGGAAGTCTCGCAGAATAGCGTTCGTTTTTGATGTTGTCAAGTTCAAAAATTGAGGAAGTCTCGCAGAATTTCTGAGTTTTTGATGGTGTCAAGTTCAAAAACTGAGGAAGTCTCGCAGAATAGCTTCGTTTTCAAACTTGCAGATAGATAGATAGGTAGATAGATAGATAGATAGGTAGGTAGATAAATAGATAAACAGAAAGGCAAATAGATAAACAGATATAGATAGACAGATAGACAGCTGCAACTGCACTACACCACACTACAACTACAACTTCAACTACAATTTTACTACCACTACAACTACAACTTCACTACACTTCAACTACAAGAACTACAGCTACAACCACAACTACAACTTCAAACTACAACCTCAACTGACAATTACTACAACTACAATTGCCACTGCAACTACAACCACGTGCAACTACAACTGCAGCAACCACTACAACTACACTACAACTACACTTCAACTACACTACTGCAACAGCAATTACCACGACACTACACTACGACTACAACTACAACTACAACTACAACTACAACTACAACTACAGTTACAACTACAACTACAACTCCTACAACTACTGCAACTACTTTAAAATTACTACATTTAAGATAATTACAACTTCAACTACACTTCAACTACAACTACAACTGCAACTATACCTACAACTACAACTACAACTACAACATTACAACTTCAACAACATCAACCCCACTACAACTACAACTACATCAGCAACTACAATTACTGCACTACACCACACTACATCCAGGAGTTGTGAGTGATGTGACCACTGCAACCATTGCAACCACCCCAAAAAGCACAACTCCAACCACCTTTCGGTACAACTCACCAGCCATGTTTTCATGACCTGTTCCGTGATCACCGGCTGGAAAGATACCAAAAAATTAGGGTTAGGGAGAAAAACGCTACCATTCAATTAGCCGCCCTACTTCAAGAGCATCAAACATGACGTGTGATTGTTCAACCCTTCAACCCAGGAGTTATTGAAGATCAGTGAACACTTGTCACTCGACCAGCAGCCGTGGGGTTTGGGGTTTTGAGCATGTCCGAAGCAGTGAGTCGGTCAAAGAGACAAACAAGGGATATCACCTGCGAAAACTGGTAAACTGTTCGCGGGTTCATTCAGTTGCTATGTGGTTAGAAGATGTTACAAGCAAATAGATGCAACTTTATGCAACTTTGACTTTCAGAAAACAGGGTATCAATCGAGTAGATCCGGTCCGTTCGAAGGGAAGGAGGATGAAGTTTGGTTTTCCACTTTCGACAGGTTGTTAGTGGATCTCCGAGGCAATACTCCCTGCTGGGTCAGATTGCGGTGATGTCGCAGACTGGTTGGTTTTTGAAGAACGGGACCGAGAACCAGTTGGATCTGAAACTGAAAGCACCTCGACATAGCGCAGCTGCGATAAAACCGGTGGAGTTGCTGAAACTGGGTATGTGTGTAATATATAAGTATGTATGTATGTATATATATATATATATTCTAGCGACCTCACAAGACCCCGCCTTAGATATCCTCAAACGCTGCTTGCAAAGAGTTATGTGTATATATATATATATGTGTGAATCGCGATTTGTAGTATCGGTGGAACTGCGAACAGGATCCAGAAATGGGTGGTAGACCCTTTTGGTTGGTCTTCAGTCTGGAGGAATATGTTCCTTTTTCTGAGGTTCTGTCCCCTAAGAGGACTGTCCTGCCATAAATACCAATGGAAGGTTGAATGATGATCATATTCGTTTTCTTACCAAAAAAAATAATTTTTGTTTGGTGCCTCCACTTCAAGCATATGATTTTGAATGTTTGCGTGACTAGATCATATGGGGCAACATGGAGAACTTGGCAGCTTCCTCACAAGTTCCGACCTCATAGTTGTCGAGGTATCCGAGACCTTCTACGATCCAGCAGCCTTGCAGAAAATTGATGCTACCCTGGGAAGAAATAATAAGAAATATGGGTCTCTCTGAAAATAGGCTACCCCAAAATTTGATGGTGAATCAATGTGAATAATGTGAATCATCACTTTCCCCACTCAAATGACCGTGGTATCCCCTCTTTTCAGACAAACCCAGGTTTGAGTCAATCTTCAAAGGTTTCGAGAACTCCTAGGGGTTATCCAGGCTCCGCTATGGATCAGTGAGGAGGTATTCAAACTTACAATCCAACAGTGGATGATTTCGGGTGAGCTGTGTGTGGCTGAGTATGGTCATTGAATGGTTGACGCTAGTTTAAACGCCAGTTGGGGATTCCTGAAATTCAATAAATGTTACCGCTGTGGTGGGTTCATTGGTTTGTGAATCATGGTCATTAGCCCAGATCCCAGCAATAGCGACTGGCTATTCAGCCGCATGTCAAGGGGTAAACATATCACTTAACATCCCATACACGATTGGATTGCAATTACAAGATGGTTAGTTCTCACTGGATTATAATACTAGTTGGTGGTTTGGAACATTTTTCCATATTGGGAATGTCATCATCCCAACTGACGTTCATATTTTTCGGAGGGGTAGATATACCACCAACCAGATGGTTACATATGGTTATTAATAATGGTTAATGGTTATTAATGTTGGTTTTCATGGCTAGTTGATGGTTATTACAATAATGATGAATGTGGCTAAAACAATGACATAAACCAGTCATGACTGGGAATGGTTTCCATGTTTCACAATCTGGGGACAGAAGCCTACTACATATGACCATATGTTGGGGTTTATCCACATCCGTTCGCCAGCTATTTTTGGGGTACTTGTTGGGTGTCCTAGGTTTTGACTCATAGCTATCTAATTGTGGTTGATCTATGTTGATCTATGGTGATCTATGTTGATCTATGTTTATCTACCATCTGGCAATCACCATTTCTAATCCGCAAATCAAGTGTAAATGACAAGTTTCAATAACAAACTGTTACATGATCAGAGGGTATACCCTCATATATCCTAAAAATACCCAATAAATCCCATTAAATCCTTATGAAGTCTTATTGAATTCACCATTAAATAACAAACCCTTTTTCTTGCTTCCAAGGACGGCAAGTTCCGCTGCGTCCGCTTCCGCTCGACCGCACAAGTGCCGCCCAACGCGGCCGTGACGCTGGATTCAGAATGTGCATCCCAGTTAATAAGTGGCCTTTTTTCCCATCTATAACCCATATATATATAATATAGTGCAGACATATATATATATAGCTAAGCTACTTATATTTTGGGGATAGTCTAAGCCATATCCCACTGATATAGGGGATAGTCCAGACAGTAGGATGCATCCCCAGGTAGGCAAAAAGATGCATCCGAAATGCCGAGAATGAAAAACATTTATCAGAACACATGAAACAATCATTCAAAGATTCTATTTGAAATATGAAACACTTTTTTCGAGTTTTCCAAGATAAAGTTTTTTGACCAAGACCCACATCCATGGCCCCAGGACCTACTACAATTTCTATGTTGCTGTGCGTGAACCTGCACCTTGGATCACCTTGGATCCCCTTGGATCACCTTGGATCACCAATGTCGACAGATAGCCTCTGGTAATGACTAACATAACTATGGAAAGATCCACCATGCAAAAAAAATGGGTAAATCCACTATTTCGACTGGGTCATTTTCAATGTCGCGAACTGTAACAAATTACCAGAGGGTAAAACCGTTGTTTGCTATCACTGTTTGTGTTGGATAAATTATGATAAATTGAGATTTTGAAGGCTGCAATGAAACCCGTCCATCGTCATGACGTCTCCTCTTCACTTCGCGACTGACATGAGGTTCATCCCAAGTTGTACCGTTTCAGTGGAAAGTACATCGCAGGCCGGACAGCAAGTCGAGCTGTCCGATGCTACTTCTACCCTTTGGTTATTTAACATAGCTATGGAAAATCCCTTATAAATGGAGGCTTTAATGGGAAAATCATCTGTAAATGGGCCATTTTCCATAGCTATGTTAAATAACCAGAGGGTAGATGATTTGCCCTCTGGTAATTTAAGAGTTTGCGAACTGGAAACCATGGCCCAAGAATGTCAATGTCGAAACTTGCCGAAAATGGTGATCGTCCATAGCTATGTGGTGCCATAGGGGACCTCTCCAGCATGTGTCCAACTGCGGTAAAACATGTACCCTCTGGTTATTTAACATAGCTATGGAAAATGGCCCATTTACAGATGATTTTCCCATTAAAGCCTCCATTAAAAAGGGATTTTCCATAGCTATGTTAGTCATAACCAAAGGGTAAATACACTATCCCCTTTCTTCAGGGACTCATAGAAACTGGAGATGAGACGACCTCCGTTTTTTGTTTTTTGATAGCCCGAATACCTGGGATTGCACAGGGCAAGATTAATTGTGTGTGCGTGTGCGTGTTTTCAATCGTAATTACTAGTGAAATGCTGCTCATCATCACAAATAATCACAAATAGGAATACATTTGGCAATTTGATGTTGTTTGTTTTACTTCAGCAATACGCGTACGGTGTTTCAACTTTTTTTTCGCTCCCCCCAAAAAAAGGCATCAGCTTCCGAAAAGATGCCCGACTTTCCATGGCTTTCCCATGGATCACAGAAAAATATATCCAACCCCCATTCAACCAAACGAGTATAAACCCATGTTTCATACAGGATGGGGCCCCCAAGATAGCTAAGTTGGTTTATAAGTGGCTGAATTCAATGGTTTATGGTAGATTTTTTACGAACTAGTTTTCATGGGGATTATTTCATGGTTTATAAACCAACTTATAATTGGGGCCCCATGTTTCATACCCAATCAACCAATATGAACTGGTCAAGTGCTCACTTTCCCATCTTTTTGCTCGGGGAGGTTTGGTCTTTCGCCCCTCTCTGGCAGAGAATGCCACCAATAGCTTCGCCCTGTCGGAAGAGCGATTGGTGCATCTTGACCGCATCATATTTCAATGGGAATTCCAGGATCCTAAAATGGAGGTACGTTAGTACCATATGTTAGGCCATATTTTCTGGGGATATTCCCTTACATAGGCCTGAAAAAAAGGCCTTATATATGGTAGGTACCTCCAATCAATCGGATCCTGGAATGGCCATTGATATTCCCATCTCCCCAATTCCCATCTCCCAAATTTAGAAGGACTTCATCAGGATCAAAATCAGCAAGAACTATCCAGTTCTTTAAGGATACCATCTGGTTATGACATTGCCAGTTCGCCATGGAAAGATCCACCATGCTATTAATAGGTAAACCATCTATTTCGATTAGGGCCATCTATACCATGGCAAACTGTTAGTCATAACCAGAGGGTACCATGATATTTCAACCATGAGTTTCTGCTCACTGTTCAACACTAGATCAGTGGCTTTGAGTTCTCCACTCCGCTGATTTCATTTTTTCTTGATGTCACCTGATGGGAATTGCATTGGGGGGAACTATCCCGAATCCCAAAATGGCCGAACTTGGCAGCTTTGTGAACTACTGTAATTCAATGTAATTCAGCCAAATTGAGCTTTACCATCGCCCAGATGGTAATTTTATTTCCTTTAACTCATAGATAGTCTGCATGTTTTTGGGTAAATTACAACTTTATTGCTTGTCTTCTTATATATTCTTATATTAATCCAAGGTCTAGTTGAGCCATGGAACGCTTTTTCAGCACCATCCTATCCCTCGCTAAGGCGGCTCTTTGTGCCTTCCAAGGAGGAAAAAGAGGGCTACAGGAGCCGTGTGAAAAGATTCCATACATTCCACCAGGGGTGGGGAAGGGACGACTTACCCGTTTTCATGTGTTTTTCATAACGAAAGCCCTGGTGGAATGTATTGTGTGTCGTTTTTTTTTTTTAATTAACTACATGTTGTGTAGTTGTTGTTATTAAATACACACATATGTTGTTATTTAATACTACATTAAAACACACATGTTTTTGTTATTCATTTGTTGTGTTCGATTTGACATTTTCGGGGCTTGGCACTTCTAACCCGCACCCGATTCTTGATAAAATCTTGAAAATCTTGGTGAGACACCTGAAATGATCGGAAGTCGAAGAGTTTAATTCTGATGTTGACATTGAACCAGGATCCACTTAAAGGGATTCTGATTTCGCAAACACTGTCCCATTTGGTCAGATGATGTCAGATGGCCATGCTTGGTAGCCTCTTGTATCCAACCTGGTACTTGAACATCCCCCATTTGTACATTTTTTATATACACATACCATAGGGATCTTCCGTGCCACGCTTGTCTAGCAGTGGAGCATGTGCCCGACTCCCAGGAAAGACCCACATCTAGTGCATTTCTGTACTTATCACTTAGATAATCCCTGAAATTGATAATGAATCATACTGTAACTGGGGTATATCCCATCATTTCCCATGATATATTTCACTTCTCGGCGTTTGCAACAGCAACCCATTTACCGCAAAATCGGCTAACTTTTCTCTTTAACAGTTTTGCTATGTCTATTATGATCATTAACCAAAATGTAGTGTTTATGATTGTATTGGGGTGAGAACTTGTACTAGCCGCTGGCCTTTCGTATAAATATATCTATACTGTATATACACATTGACACCATATGATTAAAGTATAATATATAACAATATATATATATATGGATATATAGAATCATATCTCCCACTTTGGATGTTTAACCATGTTGTCAACCGCGCGCTGGCCTTACAGGAATGTGGTTTGCAGTGCCGTGCCGTCCTTCGCCAAGTGGTTGGATACGCTTGGCGGACGTATGGGAGCTCCCAGTACCTTGGCAACGGGGCCAGTCGCTGAATCGATTCAGCCGCAGATTTCATGTGTTTACCCATCGAACTATAGATATTTTTGATAGAATACCAGTAGTACCGCACAAGGCGGTGGCGGAAGTTTCAAAAATAGGAAACCTATAGGAGAGGTGAGTTGCTGTGGCGCAAAAATGGCAGAGCGAACCCACTGATGGATTGAAAGGTGGTTGAGTGTTTCTGCCTTTCTGTCTTTTTCTTTCTCTTTCTCTCTGTCTCTCTCTTTCGGCATCTATCTACAGAGTTACCTTTCTAGCCATCTACCTATCTACCTGTCTATTCATGTAGCTATCGTTCGATGTGTTTCTTCACCTAACTATTAAACTCTCCATCTTTCTGTCTATCCAGCCATGCATCCATCCACTTACCTCTCTCTGTTAGTTGTTTTTTCCGTCCATCTCTTCAGCCATGTCCACAGGTATCCATCACCATGTTCTTCGTTCTGTGTCTCTATCGATTCATCCATGCATCTGTCCGTCTCTCTGTTCTTCCAGCCATCCATCGATCTATCTAGCTATCTATGTGTCTATCTATCTGTCTATCTATCTATGGATCTATCTGTCTATCTATCTATCTATCTATCTATCGATCTATCTATCTCTCTCTCTCTATCTATCTCTCCGTCGATCGATCGATCTATCTATCTATCTATCTATCTATCTATCTATCTATCTATCTATCTATCTATCTATCTCTCTCTCCATGTATCGATCTATGCATCTATCGATGTATCTATCTATCTATCTATCGATCTATCTATCTATCTATCTTTCTATCTATCTCTCTATCTCACTTTTTCAACATCTGAACCTCCAAAAATGGTCCGAACCCCTAGTGTTTTGGACATTTTGACTTGGAAATGTGCTTCGCGCCACAACGGCGTGCACTTTTTTGACATCTCAACTTCCAAAAGTGGTCCGAGACCGCCAGTTTTTAACACTTTTGACTTCAAAATATACTTCGCGATCTTCGCGCCACAACGGCGTGCACTTTTTCGACATCGCAACTTCCAAAAGTGGTCCGACAATGGTGTGCTTTGTACATTTTGACTTGGAAATGTGCTTCGCGCCACAACGGCGTGCACTTTTTCGACATCTCAACTTCCAAAAGTGGTCCGAGACCGCCAGTTTTTTACACTTTTGACTTGGAAATGTGCTTCGCGCCACAACGGCGTGCACTTTTTCGACATCTCAACTTCCAAAAGTGGTCCGAACCCCTGGTGTTTTGTACATTTTGACTTGGAAATGTGCTTCGCGCCACAACGGCGTGCACTTTTTCGACATCGCAACTTCCAAAAGTGGTCCGACAATGGTGTGTTTTGTACATTTTGACTTCGAAATGTGCTTCGCGCCACAACGGCGTGCAATTTTTCATCTCTCATCTGGCCAGCTGGCTCCGCACCCGCCGCTTTAGCGAGCCTACTTTTCGAGCCTCCGGAGCCACAAATCATTGGAAAAACACAGTGTTTCGCGACTTCCCTACCTTTTCGCGCATCTGCATCTTCTTTCTTCTGACTCTTTCTCTTCTCTGATCTTCTCTCTTCTAATCTTTCTCTTCTCTCTGCCTCTGCCCTGCTCTGCTTTTCATCTGTCCATATTGTCGGAAGTTTAGCTTCTAAACTTCCTTCGATGAATGACTATTATAGATCTATATTTATAGAGTATTCATGAATATCTGGCTGGTGGTTTCAAACATGAATTGTATTTTCCATTTCATATATGGGATGTCATCCCATTGACGAACTCCATCATTTTTCAAGATGGTTATTGCACCAACCAGATATCATGGATCACAAAAAATTTGAATCCGAAAAGACGTGCAATTTGGGAGAAAGAGACGGTGGCTTAGGTCGGAAGCCATCCATGCCGGGAAAGACTCAAAGGAAAAAATGGGTGAACATCCCATGGGGTTGATGAATGGTCGGAGAAAGATTGGTCAATGGTTGGTACCCTCTGGTAATTTAACATAGCTATTGAAAATGACCCATTTATAGTTGTTTTACCCATTAATAATGGTGATTTTCAATAGCTATGTTAAATTACCAGAGGGTAGCTGTGGGGATTGAAATGTTGATGGTGAACACAAAATATGCGCTTCCGGGCATGATGATTTTCATCGCTGTTCGGTGAATAGATCGGAGAAATTTTGCGGGATCAATATACACATGCAACGTGGATGTGCTCAAATTGTAAGGACAAACCCCAAATGATGCCATTAAAAAGCCGCAACAGAGTGAGCGGGAAGATCAGTCCCGCATCATATTGATATATTGGTTGTGCTCTGCTGATTGCACAGCTGACCACAGTCTTTTGAGGTGCGTACCCTTCATTACTCGAAGGCAGTACAGAAACCATCCAAGTCACAGATGATTCACCTATTTATGGCGATTGTCCGTAGCTATGTTAAAGTACCAGCAGGTAGAATGACGTGCGCAGAGGAACCCTGACACTGAGTTTCAAAACCATTCGGCATCATTCAACACCTGTCTTTCAATGTTTTTTCCGCACCCAATTGGACTATCCCCCATTTCCATAGTTTTTAAAACATGTGTAAATCCACGGAATTTCCAGCCATCGAAATGACTACGGCCTGTTATGCGATCTGGGAAGGTGATGATACCTTCTACTTTGCAGATCCTTGGAATTTGCAGTTTTTTCTGCGGTATGGATGTTTCTTAAAAGGTGTCACCTTTTTCGAGTACATAAAGTTGAACTTGCTTGGTGAATATAGGGACTTATACTAGCTAATGAATTATGAGCACCAGTAGGTAAACCTATCAACTAGCATAGTGATTGGAAACACGGGGGAAATTTTCAATGGCTCAGTCGGCCGGCAGACGGTTTTTTTCCTGTTGCCCGCCCAACGTATGTCGTCCATTGCCTCACAATGTTTGGGATACCACCTCGCCAAAAATGATGAATGTGAACATCAAAGCTTCAAAACATGGTGGAAGTCAATGATCAGTTCGAAATGTATCACCATATCCAAATGAATCACTGGATCAGTTATATGGGGGGGTTCCGTAAATGGTGGTACCCCTTTATCGCTGGATGGTTTCTGAATCATGGAAAATCCATCTATAGATGATGACTGCGGGGTGCCCCCATGTCTTAGGAAACCACCATTTACACCTGGGATCATGTGGAAATGGTTTTCAATGATCCAGGTCCACTCCTCAGGATGGATATAGGCAAAAATGTCCCCATGTTCACCGATCTCCCAGCTATCCAATGGCATAAAAAATGGCCTTAGTCGAAACCATCCAGTTTGTGGATGTCCAGTAAACAAACATAGCTCTGCAAAACATTCCACAGTTTAGGACATGACTTTGATCCCGGAGTCCCTGGCCAAAACCTCCAATGTCGAAGACGGTGAAGTGGATGCGGCAACAAAGCCCTTGAGGATCGGGGGCCAGGGTGGCGGTTTACCTCGTGCTGCCATTACCCTCTGGTAACCTAATGTAACTATGGAAAATCACCATTTTTAATGGGTAAATCCACTATAAATGGCCATTTTCAATAGCTGTGTTAGTTTACCAGAGAATCATCATCAGATCACGATAATAGCTGGTGTTTTTAACATTCCCAGCCATGGCTGGAAAGTATTGTGTTTTACCCTTACGAGGTTTTCATGAAATTGGGTAAATAATAATCATAGAATTGGATGATGGGAAAATTTACAGGAAAGCCCTATATTTGATGGTAAAAACCATGGTTTCCGGTTTCGATTTTCCCAACAAAACCAATCCAGTGAAATAAATACCTCAATGACGGGGATGATGTTTTTGACCCATGACTGGGTTAAGGAGGGATGGTTTTTATGGATGTGTATTAGGCAGATGTCCCACTTCTTCTGATAATTCGTCGTTGCTACAAGGGGTCATTTCTTTGGTGGAACGCGCGTTTACATGGGTCTACAAAAATATGGTAACAATATTACATAGTAACTACATAGTATTACTAAAGAGCATTAAATATCTAGTCATTTCAGCTTTCACCCCCATAGTTTCATATATGTTCATCATCTTGTGATGAAACATGGCCGACTCCTCGACTCATAAATCGGATGATTCGTGACATGAGGAATGAAAGGAAATATCAGAATTATATGTATAGTTGGGAATCAGTATTGGAGAACAGTACTTAATTTACTCCCAATGTTCTTATCTAACAACTATAGATTGGTTGATTTATGACTCATGAGCAATCATTAGTGATTTGCGTGATCAAAAGTTATTGGTCCATGACTAATTATCATCAATTTTGATTATTAGTGATTCTTATGACCACTTAATTATTGCATACTATGACCACTTATGTTCTGAAGATGATGAGTGTCATGAGGAACCCTAGGGGTCCCTATAGTCAGCCCTCGGAAATTGGAGCACATCTTGGATCGTTGGTTCACTTCGATGCAAGGTGATGACAAGGTCATGAACTCCTTGGTTATGTTTTCACAAAATTGGCATTTAACTTTTAAAAGCTGGTTGGTGGTTTGGAACATGAAATTTATTTTCCCCAATAGTTGGGATGATGATCCAATCTGACTTTCATATTTTTCCGGGGGGTTGAAACCACCTATTAACTATTACCATCTGGTTATGACTAACATAGCCATGGAAAATCCCAACTATAAATGGAGGTTTCTAGCTGGGAAAATCATCTATTTCTATGGGCCATGGATTCCATGGCGAACTGTAACAAATAACCAGAGGGTAAAAAGGAATGATTTCAGAAGTTCAATCATCAAACCACTAGGATTTCACGGATCGAAATAGGGATTTACCATGGCATTGAACCATCACGAAACTATACGAAACTCCAAGTTTAACCCATGAAAATATTGGCTTTGTCCAAACACATGGGATGATTTTTTCCAATGTTGGAGCCTATTTTGAGACAAAGCTAGCTGAGCTTCCAGCCCCTTGAGCTCATCATGCTCCAGTGGCACTTTCCAGCGTCAAACGACCAACTGTGTTTTGGTTTCACATGTTTCATCATCAAAACACCATTACCCTCTGGTAATTTGTTACATAGCTATTGAACATGGCCCAGTCGAAATAGTTGATTTACCTATGAAAAATTGTGATTTTCCACGGTTATGTTAGTTTACCAGAGGGTAAAGTGCTTCCAACACATACATACATGATATTACACTACACTACATTGCACAATACAATACATTACAGACAGCACACATATATGTTCACGATTTTCTTGTTTCAACCAACCCCAGTCCCCAAAACAACATCACCAACACCACCATTTTCCCGTGGCGAGTGGCACCATGGGTTCGGCGCAGAGCTGCTGTGCCCCGGCCGACGCCGCAGATGTCGCGGACGTCGCCGTAGAGGAGGCGCTGCCGCCGCTGACGGCCACGACGCTGTCGTTGCCGAAGCACCCCGCACTGCCAGCGGAGCCCTGCCCGGAGAGCGCGGAGACCTTGGGGAGTCCCGGCAGTCCGGACAGGGCGTCGCCCAAAGCGGCCCTGGAAAAGATGATGTCCGGCAGCCATACAGAGGCGATGGCGAGTACATATACCACGCGACATATCAGTATATTACTCAGGATATACTATTACTATATGTTTATTATTTAGAATTATGGAAATATACTAGTGTGTACTATATGTGCATATACATATCGTTATGATCATTGTAGACCATAGATGTATTTATACATTGACACGAATATACATATATACATATATACATATATACATATATACATATATACATATATACATACATACATATATACATACATACATACATACATACATACATACATACATACATACATACATACATACATACATATATACATATATACATACATACACAGATATATACATATATATATATACATATATCTACATATATTTACATATATATATATACATATATATATACATAAATATATAACTATATATACATATATATATATACATATATATATATATACATACATATATATATATATACATACATATATTTACATATATACATATATAATTACATATATATGTATACATATATACATATATACATATTCACATATATATTTATAATCCTATACAATCATTTAGAATCATATAGAATCATATTTGTACATATATACACACATATATATATATATATCATCCAATATATATATATATGTATCATATATACATATCACGAAAGGTAGCCTCCTAGCGGGCTACCTTGAGTTTTACTTTGCGAAGCAAAGGGGCGGGCTGGACCCCTTATCCTTGAACGACCAGGAGAAAGGGACCCCCCCCCTCCCCCCCCTCAAAGGGAACTCTCGCCATATGCCTGGTGAGTCTCTTCACGCAGCAGCCCCTTCGCAGTGTCTCGTCATCATCACCATCATCATCAACATCATCATCATCATCCTCCTCCTCATCATCACCATCATCATTCGACTTGAAATTCGGATTTTTCGACATCCATTTTCCAAGTACCCAACGGTGCGATGAAAGTGACAGGTTCGAGCATCCATAGGTACAGCAAAAAGAGACATTGGAGTTTGTGCTATAACACTGATCGTGTTTTTTTTTCCCCGCACGATGCGTGTGTCTGACAATGTATACCTCCAAATGGCTATTTAAATGGACTAAGTGATGAGCAACCATGGACATCGTGGGGTGCTCTCTTTTCGGATCCAGATATCTCCGCTCTGCTCTGAATGTCCAGTTCCATTCCCCCCCAAGTGAACTCTCGTCACATGCCTTGTGCGTCTCTTCACGCAGCAGCCCCTTCGCAGTGTCTCATCATCAGCATCATCGTCATCATCCTCATCATCATCATCATTCGACTTGAAATTCGGATTTTTCGACATCCATTTTCCAAGTACCCAACGGTGCGATGAAAGTGACAGGTTCGAGCATCCATAGGTACCGCAAAAAGAGACATTGGAGTTTGTGCTATAACACTGATCGTGTTTTTTTTCTTCCCCGCACGATGCGTGTGTCTGACAATGTATACCTCCAAATGGCTATTTAAATGGACTAAGTGATGAGCAACCATGGACATCGTGGGGTGCTCTCTTTTCGGATCCAGATATCTCCGCTCTGCTCTGAATGTCCAGTTCCATTCCCCCCCCAAGTGAACTCTCGTCACATGCCTTGTGCGTCTCTTCACGCAGTAGCCCCTTCGCAGTGTCTCATCATCAGCATCATCGTCATCATCCTCATCATCATCATCATCATCACCATCATCATCATCATCATTCGACTTGCGATTCGGATTTTTCGACATCCATTTGCCACGTCACTTTAACTTTTGCAAGCAAACGGGTGAAGCAAAGGAACATCGGCGCTTCTCCATGCTTCGGTTGGACAGAAATTTTCCGTTCGTTCTGTCAAAGCGGTGATTTGCTAGCGCATGACGTCCATATTGACAAGCCTAAGGCTTGGTGTCAGCAGAAAAGGGCCCGGTCGCATGTCGGCTTTCGCACTGAGTGATCCCCCGCGTCCCCTGTGACACAACTACCTTTCGTGTCACCCCTTCTCAAGTATATATATATATATATGAAAACAACATGTTGGGATTATTTCCCGATGTGCATGTTCCCTATAAACATGTTCGCTGCAAACCCTACGTTTGACCGTGCCGGAAGCCAACAACAGCGTCCCTGTTAAACTTATGGATGTCTCAGCCGGTATCAGGATTGGTTGAAAGCAGCAGGCCACAGTCCTTACTTGTGTCGCCAGAGAGTAGCGGGAGCAGGCTGTCGCGAGGGATGCACGGTCTCAGGCAGAAAAACCGTCTTGCACCCACCACCAGACAGAGTCTGGCAGTCTACCCGGCTGCCTGTTTTGGGCCATCCTTCTCTGCATGACTCGTGTACTTGGCCGTTTGTCTTTGTTGAACGTGTGTGTTTGTAGGGCGTAGATCTTGTTTGATTTAGATAGTAGAGGAGAGGTCTTGTGTGTTATGGTCGAACATGGGGGTTGGCGCCAACATGCGGACCTTTCATGCGGTCCCCATAAAATGTTGATATCAATCCTTCAGACAGATCAGGTGGACTACGAGATCATGCGTGGCATTGCTCTCCACCGCGCTTTGCAGCGCTCAGAGTTCTGGACCTCGCCTGATGAGATCCGACGCACCCATCGAGTGGCAGAGGTTTGGAGGTTGTCGACACCGGTGGACCGCCGCTCGGTCGGATTCGAAAAATGAAAGACATGGCATGGAATTCCTATACGAATTTGGTGATGTTGATGTTCTTATTGTCGAAACAGGATTCCAAAGATTTCATTTTTTTTCCTGGGAAAGATCCTCAAAAATCTTGGGAACAATATTGAAAATCACCTGATTTCAGCTGAATTTCCGATGAGTCTCCACTTTAGGCTGGTGTTTTTGAGTTTTTTGTCCCGTTGAAGCATCAGGTTCTAGTGGGTAAACATCCTGGACATTGGCAGTTTAGGGGTCCTTCTCGTCGGTGGGATGCGGTGATCAGCAAGCCACCTTTTTTTGATCGCCAAGGAGGTTGTCCAACTATGGTGGGTTGGTTGTACCATGTTATAACATGTTATAACCAGCGAATCATGAATAAAACATCTGACAACATCTGTGAAGGGGCAAGATCACCTTGTGATGTAAGAATTTGATATCGTTGTGTTTGAACATGATGTATTTATCCCCCATTCATGGCCATTTTGATATGGAAACTTCGATTTTGAACCATGGAATGCTTCGAGTTTCCCATCATATCCATCATGTGGCCAGGCGCGTGGGAAGATGATCCCTACCGCCCAAGATCCATTCTTCATTGGTCAAATCCCGATTTTCACATCTATTGACGGTGTGAAATTATCCCGCTTTTTGGTTTGATGAAATCATCCTGAAGAATCACCATTAATTAAGTTTAACTCCCAATTTTTGCTCGTGAAAACTCTGTTTTTCCTGGAATCCACCATAGTTTTCATCTGATTTGGCGGAATCAACCTGTGACCGGCTAAGGTTTTGATATTTTTTTGTCGCACACATGGCGATGTAAGGGCCGCTGGAAAGCTCCTCGCACTGTGATGTGGAGAGCTGGGGGTCATTACAACCCCGGGATAGAGATAGAAACATTGGAAACTTGGAAATTATGGGATAAGTTATCAGGCATATCATGTTGGAAACCGTTTTAAACAAGAAGAAATTGTGGGAAGATATATCAGACAAATTTTTACAGTACCCAAACAGGGTATGTAGGTGTATGCATTTGATTGTGATTCTCGCGGCCTTTTTTGTGATGTTTTATATGATATAGTGTATATAAGTTGGTATCTCTGCTGATTTTTCGCCGTGATGTCCCTGAAACCGTCTAGTTGTAAGGAGGTGTTGTTGGGCGAGGAATCTCCGTTTGGACGAAGATAGCTATGGAAACGATCTACTGCGGATTTCCATATATTAGTTTGCTGGATGGCATCCATAGCTATCAGAGGAATCTTTCACCATATTTCACCATATGTCACTAAAATTGACCATGATGTGACGGCGAACATCTCTTTTCGAAGATCTGATAGAGAGGTTTTTCTCTGAATCCCGGTTTTTGATCCCCAATCCAACGGATGAACACTCAATTTAAACGCCTTGTTGCCACAGAAATCATGAGGGCCATCAATGCCATCAACCGAAATGAATCCATGTTCCGGGGTTCCAATTTTAAAGGTCACCTTCACGAGTGCGAAATTGGGATATACCGTGTTAAAAAACCCCGAAATGGCCACGTCTGATATGATGATAGATAATCCATTCGAATTGAAGGTAAACTGTTTTCATAGAAAGCCATGTAATTAAGAACGTCCGCTTTGCTTTCACGGTGTTAAAAATCCCCATTTTGGAGTCAACTTCCATCACAAAAATCCTCACAGTGTTCCTTAGGTCCTTGCATTGGTGTTGCAATCGGGTTGGCTTCATGGCTTATTGGCTTCTTTCCTGGGTACTGCTGTGACCCTTTCCTTGCGCGCGACGGAGTTGATCGAAGACCCCTGGCACAACGTCCTGCTGTTGTTGGACAACACCCAATTTGCATCGCCGTTGAGTTTTTGGACGGTGCTGATCTCGGGACTGTCCATGGTCTTGGGCTTGTGCTTGTCGCCACTACTACCCTTCAAGACACAAATGTGCCTGGGCAACTCTTGAAGATTGGGCTGGATTTGAAGGAAAAATTGCAGGAAAAAATGATTATGGTTCTACCATCCAGATTATCACATGTGGTTCATGTGGAATTGATTTTGGCTGCAAAACCTTGTTTGGTTTTTGCATCCTTTAGGCTCGGATGATTACTGTATCCAGTTCTATTCAAACGTCATTCCTTTCGAGGAACAATGATGTTTTTGTTTCTTCCAAGTCTTTCAATGCTGGGTCTCCTTGGTGACCATGATCAACATGATTAGTGCCCCAAAACTGGACCATTTTTTAATGTTGCCACTTGGAGATTGGCCTGTCAGGTGTTATTTGGATGCAGCCTGCATCCATTTGGGACAAGGCGAATTGTTTGAGCGGGGGATCTACAGCATTGCTGGATCTTTCTCCGTGGCAGAGGAGATGCGGGTCTTGTATTCAGAGACGCCTGGCACCGACTGGTGAGCAGATTAGGATATCAACCAAAATGAGGACTGAATTTGATTTAATTAACCATCAATAGATGGGATTTAATCAATGATGATCGTGTTTGTCTGAAAATTGGGTATACCCCCAGTTGATGGCCAAACATGTATTGGGGACATGTTGATTTCCCATTCAATTTCGTGGTAACTCTCAAATTTCTTTGACCAAATAGGTCAGTTTTCCCAGGCCAAACATGGAAATACATTATGTATGCCACTTCCGGCGCTGTTGTTTCTTTTGAGTAGCAAAACGCGCCTAACTAGCTCTGTGTCCGTGTCATTCCGGTGAGTGTTGCTATAGTTTTTGGGGATCGGAGTTCCATTGTCGCAGTATCATGGGACAGTCAAAACCCTTGGAAGATCAATCTGAACATTGGCATCTTGGAACCTTGCAAGACAGGTTTGTATACCCAGACTTTGCGGAATCTCCAGTGGTTGTATGGCCACTCCCATATGGGTGTAACCATGGCAGTGGATGTCGATTGCCCAGCAACTGAGGCAATACCTCTCGAGTTTGTGGTGTTTGTTCGAGCTTGTGGGATATCACAAAGCAAATCCAGAGGGTCGACTGGTCTTCAAACCCTTGTTCATCGAAAGGTCTGCCGCAATCTGTACCTTCTTCATCTGGTGTTTTGCGTTCTCAATCAATTTTGCAGTCACCTACACGGCAGAAGGATTCAGACAGGAATACATTGGCGTGATGTACCTGGTCACTTTTCTGTTGCCCCTGATCCTGCTTGTGCATTTTATGCGTCGCAATTACCGAGAAAAAGCGCGCTTGATCTTTGACTTGAAGAATTTCGAGCTTGACAGATACTTGGGTTTTAGCTGGGGCCGCAATCCGCCTGAAACTTGTTCTTGTCTTCCCGCAACTGGGGGAAATCTTGCGTGGCTTAGTCTATTTTTGGGCGATATCATAGACAGGGGAACATAATCTGGTTGGTGGTTTGGAACATTTTTAATTTTTCCATATATTGGGAATAGTAACCCCAACTGACTTTCATATTTTTAGAGGGGTTGAAAGACATATTACATTATTGACATTATGGCCATTGGAATGGGGAAGCTGCTGGTGATTTCGCTCCGCCGAGGAACCACATGCGCCTCTGAGTTCGACCGTTCGTTTATCCTTAGTGCCATTGAAGCATGGTATGGCACCAGGGAGAACTTTCAAAACTATGTCCGGGGGCCACTGCGTGAGCAACTTCTTCAGTTGTTCCCATCGCCTCATTTGCCCTGCAGCTATGTGGCCTTGATTCTATGCAGTATGATGGCTTATTCCTTAGACATTGGTCTGAGTATCTACAAAGCCGGTGCCAGCATGAAAGTGATTATGAAGCAGCTGCTGTGCATGTTCACATTTTTTGCATTTGGTTTTGGGCTGCTTTCAATGGTATCTTCTACCTGAGTGACCGAACTGCTGGGAAGGACGCAACTGGCCAGCATCGCTCGAAGTGTCTGTGTGATTGCGGAAGAACTTTTCTGGTCGCCTTGGCAATCTTCCTGTGGACACTAGTGGGCTTTGCTGTCATGATCGCATGCATTCGCTCCACGAACTTGGTCTTCGCATGTTGCTGGGCGTTTCACTCAGAAATGGGAAATGCTTCAGAATCTATCATGCATATATTATATATATATATATATATTACATATATATATATTACATATATATATATATTACATATATATATATATTATATATAGGTTACACCCAACATCATATCCTTATTCCATCATTGATTGTATATCAATCTTTATGCATTAATGTATTATTCTCTATATTTATGTATATATCACATATATCACATATATATATATACATACATCATATTATACTCTGCAAATTGTGTCAGAACAAGTAATGACCTATAAATACAATGAAAGATGTATGTATATATATATGTATAGTGTGTGTGTCTGTGTGTCCAAATTCAGGTCAGCTGTTGCCAGCTTGGTGCCAGATTACGTACGGGCATCACCTTGTACTAGTACCCTCTGGTAAACATACAAAAAGCTATTGAAAATGGTGATTTATAGTTGATTTTCCCATTAAAAGTGGTGCTTTTCCATAGTTTGGTTAGTTTGCCAGAGGGTAACTACTAATAACTTTCATATTTAAATCCCGAACTGGTTCTGGGCATCAGGAATGGAAAAGTCCTGGTGAAACGGTTGGTGAAAAAAACTCAATTTAGGCAATTTCGGCTCCCCCCCAAAAAAATAGTTCCTGACAGTTCAAAGCACTCCCGGGCAGTTACGATCACACAGAACGACCAACAGTTGATCAACCAGGTTGTTACATCATTTTCTCCATGCTGATTCCCTGCTGCATCTTGGACGTTTTCAAAGTCTGTCGGCGACCACAACAAGATCAACCATTGGCGACTTCTTCACTATGACCAAGGCGTTGATTCATGAGCCCCAGCAAAGAAAAGATTGGAAAATGATGCATTTTTTAGATTTGGGTGTGTAATTTTAAAGTCTAAAAACGGGGTATAGCCATGAAACAGCCTCTAATTTCAGGGAGAAGGATGGAAAAGGATGATAAATCACTAGAATTTGGGGGGCCCTAAATTTTCAGAGAAACTCACCCAGCACACATTTCTAGCTCCAACAGCCAGGCAATTCTCGTGCAGACGATCTGACGATCTCTGTTCGCTGAGTGACCACACGGGCCCCAAACCCAACACGGGCATATCAATACCAATTGGGGGGTAATTGTTCTATGTAGGTATAAATATATATATACGTATATATACGTATGCGTGTGTATGATATATATAACTACTGTGTATATAATATATATATATATACATATACATACACATATACATACACATACACATATATACACATACATATATACACATGCATATATACACATACACATATACATACACATACGCACACATACACATACACATTCACATATACATACACATACACATACAGATACACATACACATACATATACACATACATATACATGTACATACACATACACATATATACACATACATATATACACATATACATACACATACACATACATATACACATACATATACATATATACATACACACATACATACATACATACATATATATATATACTGTCTATTATATATATATGTGGACTAGATAGATTCGAGTCGATTCGATTTGATTCGATAAACAAATAGCAGAATTATATCATTACATCTTTATATATCTGCGATCGGTACTTATCCAAGCAACTTGGCCAGAAAGTGTGATGGTTTTGGGGCCGCAGTTGCAAGCCAGACCAGCAATTTACCGTTTTACCCATAAAATTGGAATGTTGCAGTCACTTGCGCAGAAAATTGTCGATGAAAGCATAGATTCTTCGAGAAATGTTGGACAATTTTACCATCCGGTAATCAAACGTGGCAATAGAAAATCCCCTATCAATGCAATAATGGAGGTGTTAATAGGAAATTCATCAAAGAAGGATAATTTTCTATTGCCATGTTTGATTACCAGAAGGTAGCTATGCAGCCAGCCATTGCTTCGGGCAAACATTCCACACAGGTATTGCTGGGGAATGGTTCATTTCATACTGCCAGATAATAGATAGTTTCCACATTGATGAGTTCCTAGTCTCATCTCTATTGTGCCCACTACACAAATGTGTTTTTGTGGACGCGACACGCAGTTTTTTGGTCGGTGAATTGACCGATACGTTCCTCTTGCAAAAGGCCGTTTCCACCTGCTGACGGGCCAGGAATCAAAATTCCAGATATGGGGATTTATACAGGGTGCCCCCCCAGTGATGTTTGTTGGAGAACAAAATCCTCATCAAAATCCTTTGGATATATCTACCATAAGCCCAACAAAAATTGGAGTTATGTTCACCAACTTCGCCAATTGGGGGCACCACCTTTTGTGGATTTACATGGATTGATGTATTTGCTCATGGGGCATATACGTACGATTATCCCACCAAAAAGACGACAGGCGCGAGTCTGTTTTTCCAAGACCAGATCTGACCGCACGTGAGTACAATCCAAGTAGCCAATTAGGACCATTAATTGGTATTACATCCATTTCCAATACTAGATCCATATTTTTAATTTCCAATATTGTTATATGATATTAGATCCAATTCTATTAGGGGATCTATCCATTTCCAAGTAAATAAATTAAAGTATGCCCCCGGAATATGGGTTGAGAGTGTTTATCCAATCGCATTTATGGCATGGCATGGGCGAGAGGCATCCAGGCAATCAAACATCGCAATAGGACGTCAACGGATGTGCCATGGTCAAAAGTTATATTACGTACCCATATTACATACATACATACATGCATGCATGCATACATACATACATACATCCATACATCCATACATACATACATATATACATTAAATATACGTACATACATTTTACATATGTATATATATATACATAATATACAATTAATTTATATATATATGTGTGTATACTCATACGGTCTCATATTGGGGAATAGTCATCAATGCAACAGGAACCTCCTTCCCCAACGATTCGGATGACCACACCCCATTCCATTTATTCCCATGGCACTCATGTCTGACATAGGATGACATAGGGAAGTCTCCAGTGATGGGTCCGTTAAAAAATATGGGCCACCCGGAAATGGCTTGTCATCATGTCTCATTAAAATTGCAAGTTTGGGGTAACCATCAACTAGCCATGAAAACCAGCATTAATAACTATTAGCCATTATTAATAACCCTATTATATAACCATTAAAAACCATAGTTATCTGATAGTCAGTATACCCCATTTTCAGACACACAGGAAAAAACCCTTATGAGCTATATAAATCCCTCATGTCTAGTGATGATAGAATCCCCTTCATCGGAAAACCACCATTGAATCACCATGCTTCATGTTTAAATCGCTCTGAAAGCACCCGTTTTTGGTGGGTTACCTTGAAATCCAGACGTTAGCAGGTCCAATCACTCAGCTACCATCGAGTCACCATAAAATCACCATTAAAAAAAAACATTAAACCATGAAATCACCATAAAATCCCATCTGGTTGGTGGTTTGGAACATGAATTTTATGACTTTCCATTCAGTTGGGAATGTCATCATCCCAACTGACGAAGTCATATTTTTCAGAGGGGTAGGCTCAACCACCAACCAGCATTATACGTGGCATGAAATCTCCCTGTAATCACCGTGAAATCTTCACGTCACAGGTATACCTTGAAAATTGGTTTGCCCATGTCCACCGACCTGGTCCGAGTGAAAGTGCACGTGAACGACGTCTTGAAGCACGGCCGTTGTTTCGGGCTGCCGGAAGCAGGGAGGTGCCAAATGGAGGTTTCCCGAAATGGGGGTACCCCCAGTCATCATCCATCTATAGATGGATTTTCCATGAAATAAACCATCCAGTTATTGGGGTACCCATATTTATGGAACCCCCAAATGAGCCAATCTCCGGTATCAAACGTGAAATCCCCCTACAGGATGGTTTATGGTAGATATAACGAACTAGTTACCCTCTGGTAAACAAACATAGCTATTGAAAATGCCTTTTTTTAATAGGTAAATCAACTATTTCTATGGGCCATGTTCAATAGCTATGTAACAAATTACCAGAGGGTATTGGGGTTAGAATTGGAAAATCATGGGAACATTCCCAGGAAACCTCGTAAGGGAAATCCTCTGGCGAGGAGGAAACGTTTCTTCGCGACATCGTCTCGAAATGGAGTTTCCAGCAAGCCATGAGGTAATCCTCACTGAGTTACCCTCTGGTTATGACATTCACAGTTCGCCATGGAAGCCATGACCCATAGAAATAGATGGTGAACAACTGGGTTTACCTACTAATAGCATGGTGGATCTTTCCATGGCGAACTGTGAATGTCATAACCAGAGGGTAAGTCTTCAAAATGAATTTGCCCGATTTCGCTACAGTGAAACCCATGGCTTGGCCGGCCCCAACCGGCCAAGCGTTCGAGGAAATGCATTCTCAACTGGCTCGGAGCGTTAACCAGCGCTACTGCCGCCACTGGGTTCCCAAACATAGGGGATCCATGGGAATTGATGGGATTCTTGATGGAGATTCATAGGAATTAGCCCCTGGTAATTGAACACAGCCATCGAAATCCGTTTTAATATGTTTTTAGTAGGTCAATCATCAATGGACCATGACTATGTTAAAGTGCCAGAGGGTATATGGAAAAATTGGGAAACCAGATGGAAAGTAAATGGTTATGGAAAGTAAATGGTTCAAGGATATTCGATGAGTTGATTTGAAATCCAAACTGCAGTTTGCGATGGTTTGGATGTCGCATTTAGAGATGATTCAGGATATCTTTGTGAAATCCGTAGAAATTTCGAAAACTGTGGGTCATTACCAGAGCTTATTTCGGAATTGTCACTTACCCTCTGTTCAACTAACATAACTATGGAACATCACCATTTTTAATGGGTAAATCGGTAAATCAACTATAAATGGCAATTTTCAATAGCTATGTTAAATTACCAGAGGGTCCCCGGCTCTTTTTGATGTTTGGTTTCTCTGTTGATATTCCACGGTGCAACTGCGGGGGTTTACCAATTGTTGGACGATATAGTGGAACATTAGTCAGTTGGGAATTTCATCATCCCAACTGACGAAGTCATATTTTTCAGAGGGGTAGGTATAAATACCACCAACCAGTTACCATTTCTTAGAGGTAAATCATGGAACTCAATGGCTAGTTGATGGTTATCACAATAATGATTGATTGGTTGTTTGGGTAATAATGATATTACAATAATGATATTACAATAGTATCATCGCTTCATGTTGCTTAGTCATATCATCGCTTCCCCTACTCGGCACTTGGGCGAGTCGATTCAGCAGAAAGGACAACTCTGGTTGCAAAAAAGCCTGTGAGAAACCAACCGTTTTCATGGGGATTGATTCACCCCATTGTATAATAGGGATTAATAGGGGATAGACCCATTGGATAATGTACTGGCCGGTGGTTTGGAACATGAATTTTATTTTCCCCAAGAGTTGGGATGATGATCCAATCTGACGAGCTCAAATTTTTCAGGGGGGTAGGTCAACCACCAACCATTAATGTAAAAAAATCCGCGTACAGTAGATATGGAAAATGCCATGGGACCCTAGGGACATGATGTGACATGATTGGTTGATTTTCCATATGCAGTTTGCTTGTAGAAACTGTTCATGTATGTAGCTGTTCAGAGGAATAAGTCTGTTGGATTTTTCGGGGGATTCACCAAACTAGGGTACCCCCATGGTACCCCCATGGTACCCCCATGGTACCCCTGGGCGAAAACCATCGTTTTCGCCATCGTTTGAATGATATTTGGGGGGTGAAAACCCCCCATTTTCAGACAAACCCGTCCTTGCCATGATCACAAGACGGGTGATTTTGCAAAAAAGGGGGATAGTCATCCCCCTACGTGCTGTACCCTCTGGTAATTTAACATAACTATGGAAAATCACCATGCTATTAATGGGAAAATCCACTATTTCTATGGCCATTTTCAATATTTTTTTGTATGTTTACCAGAGTAATTTATGGATGTGGACGCATCACCTGGGAGCCCCAGTGATGGTGGGATTCATGCCACAGCCATACCATGCAGTGACACATGTGGAGGTGTATCGCCAAAAATGGTTCGATATCCCCATATGGCAGTGTGTCAAAACCTTGTACCCCTGGTGAACATCAAAATAGCTGGTAAATGGATGTTCATCCCACTAAAAATGGTATTTCTAGGTATTGACCCATACCCATATATCAAACTGTTAGTTGAACCCCCAGTATATCACCATTAGATCACCATCTTTGATGGTTAGATCCTCATAGTATCGCCATTTAATCACCATTAATCGTGGGTAACTCATGTTAACTCCCAAGTTTGGCTGTTTGAATCTCCATTTTTGGGTGGATTCCCCTTGAAATCCACAGGGTCGTGGGCCGAGGTTTTCAAGCTCATTACTGTGCTCTTCCCACACATGGAGAAGGTCGATGTTGCTCTGCGAAGTGTCAATGGCAATCTCACATTTATATGTATACATGTACAAAATTGCTTGGGGATTAATGTTTATATGAAATATTACAATGAAGCTGCATTTTTTTGGTCTGGACTGAAAAGTCGTGAGCGACCAAAAATCGAACAATTGCTGATTTTGCCCTCTCTCAGTCACCTTTGGAAGGACCAAAAATATGACGCAAAATTACGCAAAAAAGACGCGAAAGACCAACTTTTTGACACCAAAACTGTGTCATTGAATCCATCACTCTTAGCCCAAAAGTGATTTTTAGGCCTGCACCTGAAAATCCACAAAGATCGAAAATTATGCGGCTCAAGGACTGTCCAGGTATGTATATATATATATATGGGTAAATTATAATATAACAACCTCACTGCGACCTCACTGGAATAATGGTAGGGGGAATTATATATCCCAATATGGTCTTATTTCACGTTAGTGAATTATTATAATTTGCACAGATATATATATATATTATATATATGCCTATGGTTAAATACACGCAAAACCCCGACCAGCAGTGATTGCCCATGCTCATCTGGATGGCAGATCCAGGAGACCTTTCGGCTCTTCGTGTTTCTGCCATGGATTGGATTGGGATATCGCGGTGAGCTTGAACCTTTGGTACCTCGAAAAAAGGCCCAAGGAAGGAAAATCGAGCAACACGAGTCATGAAATGAGAAAGGTTGATTTTAGAGGTTACAAGTTGCAATTGCTTGGTGTTGATTTATTTCTTTTTGCACCCTTTTATCACTCATATGAAAGAGACCAATGTAGAACAGTTCGGTTGTTTCTTTCCTGGGTCAGTACGACGCAGCAGGGGACTCGAATGAAACCGGTACGACTTTCTTGCGCAAAATACTTGACGCAAATTATGTGTGGTTCCCAAGACATTGGACCCGTCTACCAAAATATGTCATCTATGTCACTATTTTGTGATCCTCGAGTTGCAAATTGTGCAGCATGCTCAAATGTCAAGCCGTACCCTATCTCTCAGTTGTGTGGGGGGCTATGTTTTTGGTAAATGTTCGGATGGATTCAGGGACCTCCAAGAATGATCTTGGGGCTATGATACTGTAGTACTTATATTATATCTACTTCTGGCAAGGACATTCCTAGACATTTCCCACAAAAAGAGCTGGAACTACCATTCTTCTGGGTTTCTCAAATCGGGATAATCGGAAGCTGATGAACCCGGGGATCAAGACCAAAAAGCTCCCCCCGTTGGCATCTCCAAGGTCAAGTCTGACGTTCCGTAGAGAAAAAAACGTGCTGCCGTAGAAAGGGGGTTGGATCCCAACTTCTGCCACGATTCTCATGTGCAGAAGCTCAGTTTAAGGGATCCCAAGATCTTCTAAGTCATATAAGTCATCAATCTGTTCATTTCACTCCGATTTCTCTGGAAGATTTGCGGTTCAGGGGTTCCAATTCCTTCGTGGGCATCAGAAGTGGAAGTTCGTGGGCCACAATTACGACGATCCAGGGGTGCCGATTGACGAAAATCGCAGGTTTTGCCATGTCATCCCCAACAAAGTGGATGGCTAGAAACTAATCCTTTAGCTTTTTGCTATATGGGTATGGATCAATACCTATTAATACCATTTTTAGTGGGATGAACATCCATTTACCAGCTATTTTGATGTTCACCAGGGGTACAAGGGTTTTGACCGATCCCCATATGGAAAATAACCCCAACCAGCAACAGATTGTTTTGTGGACTGTCAAAGATTGACCATGATGTATCCATGGAGGTTTTTTGTTAAAATTTCCCAAACTGGGTCATACATCATTTGTATAATCTACCAAGAGAAATATGGCAATTGCACCACATGGAAAATGTGGATTAATACGTATACCTATTTTATTAATGGTATCACTAATATCTAATGAATATATACATTTACGCATTAAATATATATATATATATACACCGTATATAGTATGTGTGTACGTATAGACTCTGTATAAAAATCCGATTCATCCTAACATTTTGGCTCAGTTCTTACGTTCTATGCCTCCCTGATGGACTTGCGTCCAGCCAGTTCCATATCGCTGATACCATAGCGCTGGGAGCAGATTGTTTATGCTTCCACCGACACCTGGACTCGCTGATGGTAGTGGGGAAAAATACGGATAAAGGGAATGAATAAATATATATATACAGTATACATATATAAACATATATATATATATACACAAAACAAGGTCGGAACTCAAATATCCGCATCTGGACGGATTGTGGCCATGTACTTCTAGATGGAGTTGCCATCCCACCATAGCTGCACAAGTGGCACATGGGGATGTTCTACTGACTGGCTCGGGCCAACATGAATTGTGGAGAAATCTCTTCATCATGGCCAACATTTGACATATTGAATTGAAATTGACTGTTCTTTGTTCAATTGTGTCAAGTTTACTCAGTTTTGCTGCAACCTTTCTCAGACGTGGGTGTGTTGTTTCTAGACCATGGCAATGCCCAGGTAGGTAGGTCCGGTAGGGTAGCCTTGAAATGGGATACTGCTCCGAAGTGACTAATCAATGGTTGTCCAATTGTTTGTCCTGGGTCTTGAAATGTTGAATCCACCAACCAGTATGCAAGTTCAATAAGTTCAATACATTTCTATATATATATATACACCATGTAATATGGTAAAACCAATAACAAACCTCCAAGTCTGGATGGTTTATACAACCCATTTGTATCCATGTGTATCCATGTGTGGCAATATTAGGGATGGTTTATTCTTTGCGTTACCACAAAAAAATCGTGTATCAAGTAGGATTTCAATTACCATTAGAGATCTTCGGCAGCAGTAGCTACCCCGAAATCCAATGGTTGAATCATCCTTCCCCATAGTATAGCGGTTTAATATGGTTTAATGGGCTTCAACCAACAATAGCAGTGATGAATTCATGGGATATTTTAATGGGTAAAAGTGATGTTTTTTCACAAAAACCAGCTATAAGGAATCCCTTCCCCCGTGAAAATGTTGTTGTAGCCCCAAGAAATCATAATAAATCGTAGGATGTCTGCATGGATATGGAACCACATTAACAGTATGGCTGAGACCATACAATCGCGTGTTTCATATGGGGAGTATAGTGACTATGTAGTATTTAGTAATTTTTTACTTGGTTCTACATCGTCTAAGATTCACCGGTGATTAAAACTGTTTAACATCTTAGAAATGTAGGCACTGGAGAGGCCGCTTAGCATACATATATATATATATATATATATGTATATATATCATATATCCATACATGAAGGGGATTATTCAAATGGATATCCATACATTAGTTAATCTTAGCATGTATAATCATTTATATATAGTATAACATTTTCATATCATAATATCATATATCATACAATGTGGGGCCCCCCAGTGATGTTAGTTGGTTTATAAACCCCCATAACTATAGTTATTTGCGTACCATAAACCATAGTTATTGGAGTTATTTGCACCAACCTAGCTATCTTGGGGGCCCCACATTGTAATATCACATTGTTTATAGCATATTGATATACCAATACAGGCGTTGCCTTCTGCAAAAATATGGGGACAAGCCCAGTGACTTGGTCAGGAAATGGTCGTCCTTCCGCAATCCGAATGATGCTCTCTGCGCCAGCTGTTGCTTGGTGTTTCCGTCATGATGATCATAGGATTTGACGTTGATGTACCCTCTGGTAAACTAACATAACTATGGAAAATCACCATTTTTAATGGGAAAATCCACGATAACTGGCCATGTTCAATAGCTATGTTAAATTACCAGAGGGTATAGGCAAATCGTTGATGAATGTTGATGATTAGTTCGTGAATATATGGGAAATAACCAGTGAATACATATATGATCATTGGCCTATTGGCCCGATGATCATAAGATTTGACTGGTTGATGGGAAATAACCAGTGAATATATATATATATGAACCATATATCAACCAGTGAAATATATAGGGCAATGGTTGATGGGAAATATGGTTATATATGATATCATATAATATTTATAGTTCGTGAATATATGGGAAATCTTTGGTATGGGGAAAGCATGAAAACTTGGGGATATGGTTGTGGGTATAACTGATAAATTATGGTTGGCGGATGATTGGTCCGGGAACGATACTAGCCAATGTACTGGGGATTATCAAAATTCATGATGCGAATTTCTATGAACCAACCAGGATTAGAAGAACCGAGGCTTTTTGAACATTGCTCAAATGTCCAACATTTCTTTTCATGACATGAAAGTAGGTCATTTTTTTATTCTGATATACAGTAGACTTCACATGACACATGTATGGTTTCCATAGTTCATATGGAACCCTTATTTGCCTTGCAGAGCATCCCATTGAGCAAGTGGCACTGTTCTTTTCTGGGGCACATCCTGGAATGCCCCATATCCCATACCCTCTGGTAAACTAACATAGCTATTGAAAATTGCCATAGAAATAGTGGATTTTCCCATCAAAAATGGTGATGTTCCATAGTTATGTAAACGTTTACCAGAGGGTATCCCATATGTTTCCCATAACTAGTATGACTATTGCCACTGTAGTATGACTATTATGTTTCCCATATGTTTCCCATATGTTTCCCATATGTTTCCCATATGTTTCCCATAACTTATCATAACTTATCATGTATCCCGGTATCCCATATGTTTCCCATCAAAAATGGTGAGTTTCCCATAAAGATGTTTTGTAGTATGACGATTGCCACTGCTGTAGGAACTGGGGCATAACTTATCACAACTTCTCCCCTGGCGGAGAAAATCCCCGAAGTTCCGAAGGAGCTCTTCATGGACAAAAAAGTGTTCCGGAAGTTCCGCCCCATCGCTATCAGATTGTATATATAATATTAATATATAATATATATAATACATATATATATATAATACATATATATAATACATATATTTATATATAATACATATATACAGTACATATATAATATACATATATTTATATATAATACATGGAGATGAGCAGGGAACAATACCAGCATGAGGATACGACCAACAAGCCACCAACAAGCCACGTCATGGAGAGTTCAGGTATTTGGATGCTACTGCTGCTGTTTTTTTTCGCGTATGTCAGCTTCTGCCTTGCCTCGTTTAGTACCGAACTGCAGCGACCAACAAAGGAAAGTGCCTTGGACAAAAAACGATGAAGTTGGGCCCAATGATAGCGTTGGTGAACAAGACTCCAAAAACTAGGTTGTTATGGTCATTATGACCACAGTCAATGGCTCTTCAAAGTAACTTGTAGCGCAGGTATCACCAACACTGTGTGAATGGCCTTGTTCTCCTTGAAACAGGGAAATCTACTGGGGAAGCCTCCAAACACAGAGTCCAAAAGCCTTTGGAAGGGGCTGTGTCAAAACCATGGATATATTATAGTGTATATAGTATACACTATATATGGTATATTAATATATTAAAAAACGTTTGGATTGACATGTGTTTTTTGCTCCACTCGGGTCATCTTATCATGTCTTGCCCGATTTTGAGGGATAGCAGATGGTGAAATCCACTGAGCGAAAAATCACCTGTTGGATCTGTTAAATGCCTAAGGGTTTGGTCCAAAATCACATGGCAAATGACAAAAGGCTCCAAAATCCAACTTTAAGAGGTTGCATGTGAACCACCTGGCCCTACTTTGATCATAGCTTGAGGTGTTTACAACGAGCGTTTGCAGATGCCTTTGGTAAGACGCTGTGCTGCAAGGAAGGAAGTCGCTGGAAACCCAGCATGCTTTCACTTAGGCATTCAACCATTAAAAGATGGAATGTAGCTACCGGAAGTTGGAATTTAATAGGTATTCAACTACTGCAATAGGATGTGATTTCTATCGTGATTATCATGTAATAATCCTATATTGCTAATTCAACTAATTCAACTCGAAAAGTTGGGATTTTCTCTAAGTCGCTTCCAGTTCCAGAAGCGAAGTGGGTTTTTTCATCTTGACGGTGACGTGGATCAACAGTCAATGGATTGGTCACGGGAAAATGGACCTGGAACCCCCATGATCTTCATGGGAAAACCGATGGTTTCCGGTTTCGATGTTCCCAACGCGCAAAGCCAATCCATTGAGAAGGAGTCAAAAGGATAACCTCCTGGCTGCAGATCGCGCGGACAGATTTGGGTCCAGCATTTTTTGGTCATTTCCGCAGTGATTTTCTGCGCACATGTTCAAAATGTTCGAAGATCTTTGGCATTCTATCATTCTGATATTCATGGCTGCATCCGAAAACGTTTTTTATACCCCCAGTTATAGCAACTACATGAAGGATGTTGGGGATAGCCGATAACTTCAGACAAAGCCATATTATAAACTATATCTCCAATTATTGTGGGGTGATTTTACCCCATTGTATAGGGATTAATAGGGGATAAATCCATTGGATATAGGGGATAAACCCATTGGATAATATACTGGTTGGTGGTTTGGAACATGTTTTATTTTTCCATTCAGTTGGGAATTTCATTTCATCCCAACTGACGAACTCATATTTTTCAGAGGGGTAGGGCTCAACCACCAACCAGCATTGGAGCATTGGATAATACCCTCTGGATATTTAACATAGCCATGGAAGCCATGGCCCATAGAAATAGATGGTTTACCTGGGTTTACCTATTAATAGCATGGTGACGTTCCATGGCGAACTGTTAGCCATAACCAGATGGTATATCAATTTCATCCCAACTGACTTTCACTCCATCATTTTTCAGAGGGGTGGGTATACCCCAACCACCAACCAGCATTGGAGCATTGGGATAATATATCAATTATCGTCTCTTTCTTGGCCGAATCTTCGCAGGGCTGGATGTCTGTGAATTGACGGCATTCCACCGTGACTCGGATGCTGTGAAAAAAATTCTGACAGAGAGCTTGGCTGAAGATCAATCTGCCTAGCAATAGAATTGGTTTAATAGAATTCACTGGAATTTACCTGAAAATGGCCATTTATAGTGGGGTTTCCCATTAAACATGGTGATTTTCTATAGTTATGTAAACGTTTACCAGAGGGTAATAGGATTTAATGGGTACAATGATATTTACCGGGTTGAATTTTCGAATTTGTTCATGGATTTCGCGAGATCCATGGGATAAAATTCATGAAATGTACCCTGCAGTGTCATCAAATGTGTCTAGTTGGAAAAGAAACGATACCCTCTGGTAAACTAACATAACTATGGAAAATCACCATTTGTTATAGGTAAATCAACTATAAATGGGCCATTTTCAATAGCTATGTTAAATTACCAGAGGGTAAACGAAAGTGTTCGCGGGAAAAAGGATCCATAAATGGTGGAATTGTCTAGCAAACCATGTTGCCGGAGGGTAGATTGATTGATGATTTGGGGTATTGCAAAGGTCACCCAGTGGGGGTGTCAGAATCTCTATGGCTTTCTAACCATGGGATGATACTGTAGCCCCAGAAATTCGGAGATACTGTAGCCCCTTTTTTACTATGGTTATATAGCCAATCATAAGTGAAGCTGCACCCCCAAGGTAAACCACGTAGGTAAATGTTCATCAACGAAATTGCGCTGGTACGCCGAAGAAGAGAATGGAAATTCAACCGCTGGAACTCCCATTGGGATGAATCTGCCAAAATGGGGCATTTTACGTCATTTTACCAGCGAATAATGGATAAGGTTTGTCTAGAGGTGGAAATGTATCCTAAATCTGTGGTCAGTTCAATAGTAAAACTGGATGGTGGTTTCAAACATGAATTTTATTGTCCATTTCATATATGGGATGTCACCCTTCCCATTGACGAACTCACATTTTTCAAGATGGTTAAAACTACCAACCAGAAAATGATGATGAAGCATCAACAATTGTGTACCTTGTTTTAACCCAAAAGGCTTGTCCACGAGGTTCTTCCAATCTCGTGATGCTAGTGACTGGGTTGTTCCATTTCCGGCGCTTCACAATTGTGAGGAACAGTGAGCTGTGTTTTTATTTGAACTGGGCACATGCTTCCCTTCATCGCCTTCGTCAGCTTAATGAAGCAAAGAGTTCGAGAAGTTTGATATTTGGATCTACCCTCTGGTAATTTAACATAGCTATTGAACATGGCCCATTCATAGTTGATTTACCTATTAAAGATGGTGATTTTCCAGAGCTGTTAGTTTACCAGAGGGTAAACGCAAATCAGACAGTTTGTGGAAATGGAACGATTCACGATCTTAGCAGTCAACCCGGCGACGGGTCCACAACAGGACCCCCCCAAAAAATAGATAGTTTACTTCTCAAAAATGGCCCGAACAATTCTTTGGTTCCCTGAAACAGTGTTTGACCCTTACAACTAGAACTAGTCATGTCCTCATGAGCTTCCATTGGGATAGTCACAAGTAAGGTATTTTCATATACAACTAGAATGACTATCCCAACAACTAGAAATGTCCCACTGGGTTTTAACTGTTCATGTTTTGGAGTATTGGGATAGTCACTGTCGTCCCTGAAAACACTTCGCCAAGGTCAGCTGAACTACTCCCTGTTGGACCGTCTGCATCTGGGCCAAAAAAACCTGCGGACTTTGTAGCTGTAAATGCTCTTTTTGGATTTATCAACTGTGATTGGCAAATCCCCGTAGGTAGCTGGAAAATCCCCAAATCCAATATGCGGTATATTGTATAATAATATATATATATATAGCTGTAATAATATATATGTTCAAAATATTTGCTATATTTTCATCATTTTCAACACCAAAATCCCCAAATCCAATATATTCATGGGAAAATCACCGAACTAAATGGTGGATTTTCTCGCCAACCATGTTTGATGACCGGAGGGTACAGCTGCAAAGGTGATCTTTGGTATTCATCCACCTTCGTTGCTATTCCATAATGTCTGTTGGCTACTGTACCGCGACCATGTTCTTTGGTTGGAACCTCATTGAAAAAGCAAAACTTGAATCTCTAGACTATAAATATATATATATGTATTGAATGATATAGATATAGATATAGATATACATATATTTAAATTATATTACATTATATTCTATGCTTATATTATATCAGATCATATCATATTAGATTATATTAGATTAGATCATATTATATCATATCATTTCATATTATTGTACATATACTGGTAATTCCATTAACTTTCTTTGTTTACCCGTCAAGCTTTTGTTGGTTCCATGTTCCAGCAACCCCCAGAAAAGACTGGTCTAATCAGGTCACAATTCTATTTGTTTACTCAAAAAACGTAGGAGTTTTGACTTCAACTTCTCTCTCTTGGGAGTCCCGAAATAGCCAAATCATATCCCCCAACAACAATCGCTCCATCTCCCTCGAGGTTGATGGAGCGTGAGCTGGAATTTCTGCTGCCCAACGGCACGGAGCCAGTTTTGTTCTGTGACAGTGAAATCAGGAGGCTTTTTGCCCAAAGAGACATAGACTGGTTGGTGGTTTATTTTCCATTTCATATATGGGATGTCATCCGAAACCCATTGACGAACTCCGTCATTTTTCAAGATGGTTACATGTTAAAACCACCAACCAGATTGGAGTTTTGACTGATGAAACATGTGCGGAGCCCATTTTTTGACCAGGAAATATGAGAAAGAAACGAAATGTCGCCAATCCAAGAAGAAGATACGATGTCACTACGATGTGCCTTGATCAACCATTGACTTTTCCCACCACAACCATCACCGCTGGAGGGTGACATATGTCCGATTGTTGTCCTGTTGAAGTCATTTTGAAGTAGGAGATCTGGCGACGTGATGTGCTGAACCGGAGCGACATGGAATTTGTGTCTCGAGCAGCAATTCAGCTTACAAAAAAAGGAGATCATTGAAGTAAATTTCCAATTCAGAGTGGTTCGGATCAACAACTGCTAAAAATGGTTTCTGACGCGTGGTGAAAAAAAAAAAGATATAAAAAACCTAGGGATCATTTGTTGCCCCCATTGATGACGTCATATTTTTCAGCATCTCCAACAAGTCGGATATGTGGGATGAAAAAATCGGCAGGGCTGCCCTGGTTGGTGATTTCACCCCATGGTATAAAAACGGGATTAATATAGAGGATAAAATCATTGGATATAGGGGATAAATTCATTGGATAATATACTGGTTGGTGGTGACTGGAACCATGGAATTTGATATATCTCGAAAGGTAGCGGTGAGCTACCTGAGTTCCCCCTTGCGTAGCAAGTATTAGGGGGCGAGCGGTGCAAGTGCAAGAGTTTGGGCCGGTTATGTCTCGGTCCGCGGGGCCCCCCCACCCTTCGATTCCCCCCAGGTCCGCCTCTAAAGCCGGGTTTGCAACATAGGCGGACTACAAGGAAACGCCAACAGCCGCACATGCACTTTCACCCACCACGTTTACATACATCCCCACCCCAACCGAAGTCAAGACCCGCACTGAAACTCGACAATGTCAGATTGCTCAAGAACTTTGTTTCGTTCACCCTAACAACCGCGATGAACAATGTCGTAGCAAGAACGTTGCGACGGACTGCGTTGCAGTAGTCTCAAAAATCGTACATGATATACCAGTAGTACCGCACAAGGCGGTGGCGGAAGTTTCAAAAATAGGAAACCTATAGGAGAGATTGGTTGTTGTGAATCAGAGATGGCAGAGCGAAGCCACTGCTGGACTGAAAGGCGATTGATCTCTCTCACTCTTGTCTACCTGTCTATCTATCTATCTATATCTATCTATCTATCTATCTATCTATCTATCTATCTATCTATCTATCTATCTATCTATCTATCTATCTATCTATCTATCTATCTATCTATCTATCTATCTATCCATCTATCTATCTATCTATCTATCTATCTATCTATCTATCTATCTATCTATCTATCATCTATCTATCTATCTATCTATCTATCTATCTATCTATCTATCTATCATCTATCTATCATCTATCTATCATCTATCTATCATCTATCTATCATATCATATCTATCATATCTATCATATCTATCATATCTATCATATCTATCTATCTATCATATCTATCTATCTATCATATCAATCTATCTATCCTATCTATCCTATCATATATCTATCCTATCTATCATATCTATCATATCTATCATATCTATCATATCTATCCTATCTATCTATCTATCCTATCTATCCTATCTATCCTATCTATCTATCTATCATATCTATCTATCTATCTATCTATCTATCTTATCTATCTATCTGTCTAGCTGTCTACCTGTCTATCTTTTGTGCAGTGTCATTCAGTGTAATGTAGTTAGTGTAATGTAGTGTAATGTAGTGGAGTGTAGTTGTAGTTGTAGGTGGTAGTGGAGTGTAGTGTAGAGTAGTGTCGTGAAGTGTAGCGGCAGGTAGTGTAGTGTAGTGTAATGTAGTGTAGTGTAGTGGAGTCTAGTGTAGTGTAATGTAGTGTAGTGTAAGGTAGTGTAGTGTAGTGGAGTGTAGTTGTGTAGTTTTAGTTGTAGTGTTGTGGAGTGTAGTGTAGTGTAAGGTAGTGTAGTGTAGTTTAATGTTGTGTAGTGGAGTGTAGTGGAGTGTAGTTGGGTAGGTGTAGTTGTATTTGTAGTGTAGTGGAGTGTAGTGTAGTGTAATGTAGTGAAGTGTAGTGTAGAGAGTGTAGTGCAGTGTAATTTAGTGTAGTGGACTGTAGTGGACTGTAGTTGTGTAGTTGTAGTTGTAACCTGTAGTGTTGTGAAGTGTAGTGTAATGTAATGTAGTGTAATGTAGTGTAGTGCAGCAAAGTGTAGTGTCATGTAGTGTAGTCGAGTTAAGCGAAGCAACATCTGAACCGCCAAAAGTGGTCCGAAACCCTAGTGTTTTTAACATGTTAACTTCCAAATCTGCTTCGCGCCACAACGGCGTGCACTTTTTCGAAACTCGACATCTCAGCCTCCAAAAGTGGTCCGAACATGGTGTGGTTTGTACATTTTGACTTCGAAATGTGCTTCGCGCCACAGCGGCGTGCACTTTTTCGAAACTCGACCTCTGAGCCTCCAAAAGTGGTTCGAACCCCTGGTGTTTTGCACATTTTGACTTCGAAATGTGCTTCGTGCCACAACGGCGTGCACTTTTTCGAAACTCGACCTCTGAGCCTCCAAAAGTGGTCCGAACCCCTAGTGTTTTTAACATTTTGACTTGGAAATGTGCTTCGCGCCACAACGGCGTGCACTTTTTCGACATCTTAAGTGCCAAAAGTGGTCCGCACTTGGTGTGTTTTCTACATTTTGACTTGGACATGTGCTTCGCGCCACAACGGTGTGCACTTTTTCGACATCGCAACTTCCAAAAGTGGTCAGACCCTGGTGTGTTTTGTACATTTTGACTTGGGGATGTGCTTCGCGCCACAACGGCGTGCACTTTTTCGACATCTGAAGCGCCAAAAGTGGTCCGATCCTCTGGTGTTTTGTGCATTTTGACTTGGAAATGTGCTTCGTGCAATTTTTCATGTCTCATCTCCCCATATGTCTCCGCACCCGCCGCTTTAGCGAGCCTACTTTTCGACCCTCCGGAACCACAAATCATTGGAAAAACACAGTGAATCGCGACTTTCCTACCTTTTCGCGCATCTTCATCTTCTTTCTTCTGACTCTTTCTCTTCTGATTTTTCTCTTCTCTCTGCCTCTGCCCTGCTCTGCTTTTCATCTGTCCATATTGTCGGAAGTTTAGCTTCTCAACTTCCTTCGACAATATAGTTAAAGATATGTATCTATATATATATACACATAATAATTCCATGATATATATATATACTAAATAATCTCAATATACATATAGATTCATATATATATATATATGCATACTCTACCCAGCAATTGTGGGATATTGCGCTTTGGCTAGTGGTTGCCGAAGCATAATCGCTGCCCCTTGCTCAGCATATCTAGATCATTTGGTGGATTTTCCGCAAGGGTTCCTCCAAGATATTTTTTTCAACCAAAAGACTTCGCTAATGACATTTCAATATGTTTCATATATATGTATATTCGTATATATATAGTTATCATGTATAATAACTAGAACACCTATAATGACTAGAATTACTATAATAACTAGAACATAATTATCACAACTATATTGAAACCCCCCCTTCGATTCCCCCAAGGTCCGCCTCTAAAGCCGCGTTTGCAAGAAGTCACCCCGCGGGCCCACTTTTTGCACCAAGATTCCAGCACCAGGATAGCCCTAAGTCAGTTGCTTTGGGTACATGCTGGGGTCAAAACACCACGTTTGTGAATCCCACACTGTTCTACACATGTACACACCAGAATCAACCCCATCCGCGTTGCAACAATGTGCTGCCCCCAGTTACACGTTGCCTCGCAAACCCCATAACCTGATATTTATACATATATCTAACTATATGTATGTATTTATATATATATATATATATATGTCTGTGTGTTTGTATGTGTGTCGTGTCCCCCCTCCCTGAAACCTACCTTTTTGGTACCCGCCCTCGAGTCCAAGCCCAGAAGACTTTTTTCGATATCCGCCCCAACTCCACCCACGTCCGTCCGCAGCGGATATGCCTCATTCCCTTGCTCTCTTCTCCTGTTCCAACCCACGCCTACCTTTCGATCTTTCACCCTTCCCTCTCAAGTGACTTTCCAGAAACAGTTGGGAATAATACTCCCATTTGACTAGTATTTTTCAGAGGGGTAGGTCAACCACCAACCAGATCAGCTTTGTGATTTTTCAAACGATCCAGACACCATCGGACTCATGTCAGGTTTAAACCACCAAAGTTTTTTTATGTTTCCATCACGAGTCTCGTAATCCCTTCCCCTTCTCAAATGCCTCCCACATGAAACCCTGGTATTGGCTCTACCCTCTGGTAATTTAACATAGCTATAGAAAATCACCATTTTCAATGGGAAAATCAACTAGAAATGGCCTTTTTCAATAGCTATGTTAGTTTACCAGAGGCTCTATGAGTTGTGGGCCCAAAAAAGGATCTGTCGACATGTTTGTCTCGCAACTGCATCAAAGTTTCTGGTTGATCCCAATGCGTCCCATTGAAAAAAATGGCCAGAAGTGGAGGGGGTATACCCCATTTTCAGGCACATCAATTGAACATAATTCTTGGTTACATATCCCTTGATATCTCCATTCAATACATTTAAATACCCATTACAGTATATCATGATATTCCCATAGCTAGCTAGTTAGATTCTTTTTTTCAGACCCATATCCTTGTAGGATGTATATAGATTCTATCATGTTCTCCATGATGTCCCTATGGAATCACCAAATGCGATGGGCATTTTGGGTAGCGATTTTCAGGCTTCTCTCGGAGTCTCGACTCCTCAAGGTCCATGTCGACGCCATGAGCTGCCTGCAAGTGCCTTCCATGCAGGTGGTACCGCAGGACCGCCGAGAGGGGCGGGACGGTACCGCAGGACTTCTATGGTGGTTGAATTCATCAGCGGAAAATCATGAAGGTGGTGACGAACTGCTGGTTGGTGGTGATTTCACCCCATGGTATAAAAACGGGATTAATTAATAGGGGATAAACCCATTGGATAATATACTGGTTGGTGGTGACTGGAACCATGGAATTTGATATATGACTTTCCAGAAACAGTTGGGAATGGAATTTCATCATCCCAACTTTTACGAAGTCCATCATTTTTCAGAGGGCTAGGGCGAAAAACCACCAACCAGCGATGGCTTTGCAGATTCACTGGGTTGGAACCGGTTGGAGCCACATTCTGTGCGTCCGCCAGGAAAGCATCCTGCCATACCACCGCTGGTTCTTACGCTTGCAGGTGCGGGGGGGGGAAATACCCAAACTAAGTCGCAGGTTTTTCATCGAGAAATATCACGGAAATCATGAGAAAGCCATGGTATTTTGGGGTCAAAGATGGGTTACTGCACCCCATCACCAAAGCCATGTCCCCCATCCCGAGGTTCTGACAAATGAACTCCTGATATGGATAGGTCCGAAAGCTTGGGAAAGCCAATGAACAATAGAAACAGTTGCCAAGAATTCCCTACAGCTTTTGGGGGTTTACTAGATGTAGTGATTGTCCTTGTACTGTGCCATGCTTATCATGGCGCCACCGCCTGGCAGGGGCCGATCCATCCAAAGCTGCAACGCCAGAACTACAGCTATGTCACCTGAACTCTTCACCTGTTGCGATTGCTGGGGGGTTTTCCTCGATCCCCCGGGATGGCATATTCTGACCCGGGCTGTCAGATGTATTGTCAGCACCGATATCAGATATTTGGTTATGGGAGTTATGGGTCAAAACCCCTGGTAGCCCGGTTTTCACGCCAACAGAGCAGTTGTTGTAGATGTATGAGGATGTTCATCACCCAAAATACGGTGTTTCGTAGGTCGTGTTTATTCGTTCCTACAGAAAATGATGGGCCCTTGCATCTCAAGCTAGCTGCAGCCCCATCAAGCTACTCCCAGGCACATCATTGGACCATTGACCCTTCCCCAGTCATCGTTTATCCACCTTCATCCCCAGTTTTTTGTTGGTTGATGTTGGTTGATATTCTTCAAAAGTGGCTAATACTTCCTATTAATCCACATGTTGTTGGTTGACATTTCAAGATGTGAAAATAAATTGGTAGCTACCATTTGGTTATTTAACAGTTCGCCATGGAAAATCACCATGCTATTAATAGGTAAACCATCTATTTCTATGGGTCATCTATACCATGGCTATGTTGAATAACCAGGTTGGGTAATAGCCATATCTACCTCCACCAGCCTGGCTGGAGCGGTAGGGGGAATCAATCCACCAGTCAAGGATCAATCCTTGGGTTACCATCCCCAATGGCTGAGTTGGGTTACCATCTTTTTTCAAAAATGCCTGGTGATTATAATCCATTATAATCCATAAATGAGTTGGCTGAGTTGGGATTTTCCATTATAATCCATCCCCAATATGGGAGTCTCCTGAAATGGGGGTACCCCAATATATAGCTGGATGGATTATTTCATGGAAAATCCCATTGAAATGGATTATTTAGGGGTACCCCCATTTATATCTAAATACTGGTTGGTGGTTTGGAACATGTTTTATTTCGCCATAATATATGGGATAATCCTTCCCATTGACTTTCATATTTTTCAAGAGGGGTTAAGTCACCACCAACCAGTAAATATGATTGACGTGATATTTACTCACTTGTCATAAATCCTACAGGATGGGGCCCCCAAGATAGCTAAGTTGGTTTATAAGTAGCATAAGTGGCTGAATTCAATGGTTTATGGCAGATATAACTATCGTTAATGGGGATTATTTCATGAATCCCAATTCTTTTCGTCAGAAGACCATCACATAAAGCCCAGGTGAGTGGTCTCTTCATTCGCCCATCCTTGGCTAACGCCAGCCATCCTGTGTCCATACGCCAGGCGATTTTTGGGCCCGCAGGTGACCTCACAGATGATGTCCTTAAATTGCCTGCTTGGGGAAGGTGGTTGGTGGTTTCACCCCATGGTATAATAGGGATTAATATAGGGGAAAAAATCATTGGATATAGGGGATAAACCCATTGGATAATATACCGGTTGGTGATCCCAACTGACTTTCAGTCCATCATTTTTCAGAGGGCTAGGGCGAAAAACCACCAACCAGTTGTAATGTTCCCAGATATGATTGTGAATATCTGACGAATCTTTGGAATACTTTCTCAATGAACCAGAACTCAAGAATACTAAAGATTTAAGTCGGATCTCTACTTGCTGTAGTTCACATGGACCAAGATGACTACCGGGTAGGCTGCTATGGGTCTATCTCCCCAGGTCTTTCTTTGACCACCCAGTGTTGGTGATTTATCCCAGGATATCCACATGATATTCCCACATCTTCAAATCCATACTGGCTGGTTTTTGGATTTTTTATCATGGCTTAGGAAAATCCTCAGTGTTGAGGATGGCCCAGTCGAAATAGTGAGTTTTCCCATTAATAGCATGGTGATTTTCCAAAGCAAAATGTTAGTTTACCAGAGGGTATATACCCCAATGTTTCACATGTAGTGTCAACCCTGGATGAATAAACCCCAAACGTTTGTTTTATTGGGAGGGTACCATTTCAGTATTGGATTATGACTATTTGGAGGAGTACCCCCCTAATCAATAAACCATGGAGTATTAAGATTCCTCCAATCCTTGAGAAAGTGACAAGTTGACCTCAGCTCCGCCAGCCGTACATTGGGCATCATTGGGCTGGGCTGACGGTAGGAAAAACCTCAGTTAGTAGTATCCCCCAATCATCCACCAAGCATCATTTATCAGTTATATCCACAAACATGTCGCAAAAAAAAGTGTTCATGTTCTTTTCCCAGTATATCAATGATATTTTTCATCAACGCCAGGGGTGTCTATCGCAGCCACTGCTGAGTTCCCAATATATTCACCTGTCAAATCCGCGCTGATCGCTGGAGGAAAGCTTCCTCAAAGTCTTGACGCCCTTCACCGCCAAGGCGAGGACTAAACTGGCTGCGATCAGCAGTGGCTGCGATAGACACCCCTGGCAGGGTTGATGAAAAATATCATTGATATACTGGGAAAACCTTCTGAAAACTTGGGGATATGTTTGTGGATACTGATAAATGATGGTTGATGATTTAATTGTACGGGATCATACTACCCAACAAAAATTGGGGATGGTCACAACAATTCGAATCCCGTTCGAAAAAACCATTTGAAGATGCAAGATGTTGGAAGATCTTGGAAACAGACTCCAAGTCCTAGGATTCTCAGGTCTTGTTTTTGCTGCAAAGCCTTCAAAGGGACCGGGGAATTGGGAAGAAACCGTGTTTTGCGCCTTCAGTTTGGCGCAAAAAAATGTGTACCCTCTGGTAAACTAACATAACTATGGAAAATCACCATTTTTAATGGGAAAATCCACTATAAATAGCCATTTTCAATAGCTATGTTAAATTACCAGAGGGTATCATTTCTGAATGGTCAGATGAGCGATACTAAAACCTACTAAAACCAGGCTCAGTGGGAAGTATGGGCCCAGTGCAAGGTCGGATATGTTGCAGAAAAATGTCACGAAAGAGGCACCAGTGCACCATGTTTATCCGTGTTTGACATGAAGAATCTGCCAATTGCGCGAAAATGACGATCACTTACAATTTACCTACCTTTAGTGGTTTTCCACCTTTAGTGGCCATTTTCCAGCCGTCACAAACGACGGTTTTCCCTTCCATCAGTTTCAGTATGGCATGGTTCTCATTCGCACTGTTGTCAATCACCTCATTTTCTCATAGTTTCTCAACGTGTTGTCTTTCAAAATCTCATAAATCTCATAACCATCCCAACTTAATTTCTCAAATGTCCCACTATTGCTTCTGATTGATGCTGTGTTTGTTGATTATGTGACGCGGGTAAACCAAAAATTGTGTAGTTGTCTTTTTCCAAAAAAGTGAATCAACAAAAACATAGATATCACCCCACAACGTTCGCCGTTTTGCATGGACAAAAATCTTGGACATCATCCCTGACCATTCACGACTATTCACCACTCTTCACCACTTTTTGTGGGGCATCCACCGATTAATGATTAATCATGATTGTCTCCATGAAATGGCTATAACTGGGGGGAATTCCCCCATTCTCAAACAAGCCCAAATCCATCATTCATTGGTTAAATCATGTTAAATCATGTGAAATCTCTAGTATTCTCTAGTTATATCATTTCATATCGATGGTGCTTGGGTTGTATCCTCCAGTTGGTTACATCCCCAGTCTCTCTTGGGTTTTACAAAGTGAGCCCCGCCAGTGATGTTTGTTGGTTTATAAACCCATGAATGTCATGCATACTGTTTTTGTTATTATCCATAGCCATAGACCATCATAGACCCAAACGTGAAATTGGAGAAAAACTGGTTCACCAACTTAGCTATCAACAGTCAGCTAATGTCAGCGATCAATCTCATGAATTCCCATGTTCCTTGGTGAAGGCACCATGTTCCGATGCTTTTTCTATGGCTTGTCCTAGTTTTCCCAACAAAATTCCGGCACCGTTTTTCCTATATGGTTTTCCCATGGTTTTCCTGTGGTCTTCCTATGGTTTTCCCATGGTTTTCCCATGGTTTTCCCATGGTTTTCCGGTTTTCCCATGGTTTTCCTATGGTTTTCCTACGGTTTTCCCATGGTTTTCCTATGTTTTCCTGTGTAGAAAAAACGCCCAGAACCGCACCGCCATCCTCCGGGCGGTGGTCTCCTTGGACCGCTGGAGCGATTCGCTGGGCGGGCGCCTCGGAGCGCCCTATGCAGATACCTTCTACTTGGATGACGCTTGGGGCGCCTGCACCCCCCAATTTGGTTACCCGGCCTGGTAAACTATAGGGGATAAACCGATAAACCCATTGGATCATAGGGATTAATAGGGGATAAACCCATTGGATCATAGGGATTCATAGAGGATAAAGCCATTGGATCATAGGGATTCATAGGGAATAAACCCATTGGATATAGGGGATAAACCCATTGGATAGTATACTGGTTGGTGGTTTGGAACCATGGTGTCATCATCCCAACTGACGAAGTCATATTTTTCAGAGGGGTAGGTATACCACCAACCAGTTATTGTTGGTTTAGAAAGCCATGGGTTTTGGAGTTTTGGAAAATCGAAACTGGAAACCCATCAGTTTTTACCATTACCCTCTGGTAAACTAACAGTTTGCGAACTGGGAAATCACCATCTTTAATGGGTAAATCAACTATTTCTACGACCATTTTCAATAGCTATGTTAAATTACTAGAGGGTATTGTTGGTTTAGATTCAGCCCTGCAAAACTAGTTCGTTCATGTTCGTTATATCCACCATAAACCAGAGTTTAACTACTAGTTTTGCAAATGGGCACCCTAATTTGTTAACAGTTTGCTCTTGAAAATGACCATTTATGGACCCATGATGCCATGGCCAGGTGGGTAAACCCATGGGTTTCCCTGGGCCCAGGGTGGTATATGGAGGTGTCCATAAATGGGTACCCCAATAGCTGGATTGTTTATGATGGAAAATACCATTGAAATGGACGACGATCTAATTTGGTTGATAATTCATTGATATTGATTTTTGGAAACCATGATACTAAGCAATATAATGGAAAATGTCACAGAAAAGGGGGAATTCCTGTTCTCAACTGACATTCCTATAAGGGATAAGACATGGTTTTGAACACTGCTTAGATGTAACTTGGGGAAACCCATGGGTAGACCTTGGGAATCCCCCAGAATGGGGGAAACCTCCATATGGACGATCCGCAAACAATGTGAATCCTCAAGATATTGAAAGCTTTCTGATTGCACAATCATATAATATCTGGTTATTCAACATAGCCATGGAAAATCACCATGTTTAATAGGTAAACCATCTATAAATGGGCCATTTTCCATGGCTATGTTAAATAACCAGAGGGTAATATCATATATCTGGGTAAATTATAACGACCCCAAGGCTAATCATGATTAGTAAGGAAAATCATCCCAAATGGCCCAACAATTCAGGTTAGTGAAATATTATTATTTACCCAGATATATAGTCGTATAGAATTATATAGATAGATGGGTACCGATATCAATGATATGTATGGTTTCCATGCCAGTCATGACTCTCCCACGCCAGCTGAAGAGCTGAGGACAGTCGCATCGTGCCTGAAGCCGCTGAGGAAACTACTCCGGTAGATGTCCCCTGACCCGGTCAGATGTAGATTGTTCATGACACAGTTCCTTGACCCTGCAGTTGTTTTTTGTCTTTCTGTATACAGAAATATATATATACATACATAGATCTCTAGATATATATATATATAAAGAAATATGTGTATATATATATGCAGATATATTGGCATTTATATGTCGATATATTGACATGTAGATATAGACATAGATATATCGATACGTAGATATCGATATGTAGGTATTGATATGTATGTGTATATGTAAGTGTGTATATATGTATGTGTATATGTATGTGTATATGCATGTGTATATGTATGTGTATATGTATGTGTATATGTATGTGTATATGTATGTGTATATGTATGTGTATTTGTATGTAATGTAATGTAATTTAATGTAATGTAATTCAATGTAATGTAATGTAATGTAATGTAATGTAATGTAAAATGTGTGTACGTGCATAGATATCTAGGTAGAGATATAGATCTATCGATATAGATAAATATAGATACGTATAGATATGATATACATATAGATGGATGTATAGTACGTATAGTATGTGGTGATATACACGCACCCAAAAAAGTGATGCAAAACACATACTAAAGCGATATGGTTTTCCTCAGTAAATGTGAAACAATTCGTAGGGGATATTCCTCGCGGAATGGTCAAATTTGGTGCATCCTCACCAGTGCAGCCACTATTTTCTGACGGTAGGGCCCCCGTAGCAGGGACGATCTTCCATCATGAAAAAACTGATGATACCCCACAGAAAATAGACTTGCCGAGATTTTTGTGACAAGACTTACAGTGACTTACAGCTGATGCTGCGGCACTTTGAATCGCCCGGCCGGCCAGATCTGTGCGAACATCAAAAAACGTGAAGAGCACTCCAAAATTGAAAAAAACGAAACATCCATTTTTTGGTGATATGTTTCTCAAGACAAAAATTGACCCATCATTTCGTGGTCATTCCATTCCATCTGAATTTTGCCATTCACGAGGTCATGCCACAGCTGGGAAATCGACTCAAGATTGTACCTTGGACGTGGCTTATGAAACACTTCATCCAGGTCTTCAGCTTGCGAACAGGATTGGTCCTGCAAGGATTAGTGAATTTGCTCCAGTTAGTTAGGGTATGTTGGGGTGCCCAAAATCTACCAAGATGAAGTCTTTCGCTGGTAGAAAGCATGGTACGGAGCTGGAATGATTGTTGAGCCCCAAAGATTGGAGCATGGCCAATATTGGGGTCCAAGTCTGTGGTTTCATTTGCATACTTTGGCACCCTATATCGTAGAGAACACTAAGTTTCCAAGTCATGGGGGTTTCCGATCCATCATGGGGGATACTCCAAGCTCGCTGGATGGTTGATTTCATGGAAAATCCTAGATGGATGAGTTGGTACCCCCATGACTTAGGAAACCTCCATATGACTCTTAGGTGTTTTCTCCTTTGAAAAAATGCGTTGCGATAGATTGAGGGTTTGAGAAGTTTGACGGTTCAGGGAATGTAGCATGAAGCACCTGATTTCACGACACCAAGCCACACCTGTGGCAGTCACAACTTGTGTGTGTGATACGGGATATAGCCACTATGTAACAACTAAATGAGGCATAATGAAGCTATATATCTATATATGGTGTCTGTTTTGAATGGCAAAATATGAATGTAATCAAGCTATAGATAGCTATAGATACATAGCCATTTCAGGCAGCACTCCCCATCCCCATCTTAGTCCTGCACCAGTGGCCGCAGGTACTGCCGATGCCAACTTCCATGGTGCGAGTGCATCATCACCTCAACGACATTGTGTTGCTTGGTGGATGTAGGACTTGAGTAGAGCGAAGCTGGCCGTGCCCAAGTTTTGTGGCCCAAGTTTTCCATAGTTTTCCATAGTTTTCCATAGTTTTCCATAGTTTTCCCAGTCCCACGGGACACCTAACCAACCCCCAAACAAGCCAGCCCCATGGCCCCATTCCCAGGGACGATTCCTGATTGCTGGGGATTAGCTTCCGGCATCTTCATCTTTGGTTTGCTCATGATCTTCCCAGCCATTCAGAGCGTGAGATGGGGATGGGGGTGCAAATGATCTACCAAACCTGGTGGTTTTTATACACTGGGCTTCTTGCGTTTCAAATTTTGAGTTAAGTTGATATAACACAGAGCCATGATTCAATACAACCAGTGAAATGGATCAAATTTTGGAACATGGGGTGCCATTCCCAGCACGGCTCAAGATTTCCATATTGCTCCAGCTTGCTCCATATGGAGGTTTCCTAAAATAGGGGTACCTCCATATCATCCATTTTAATCAGATTTTCCAATAGAAACCATCCAGCTATTCGGGTACCCACATGACTATGGAAACCTCCATGTTGCTCATCTCTGTATTACTCTGCTCCTAGCATTACTTTTCGACCTTGCCGCAGGAGAAGTATCATTTCTTCCTTCACCTCGAATCTCGGCTTGCGAGAAGATATCTATGAAATTGGGGTATTGTTGGAATTTACCCTCTGGTAAACTAACATAGCTATGGAAAATCACCATCTTTAATAGGTAAATCAACTATAAATGGTCCATGTTCAATAGCTATTTTGACATAACCAGAGGGTACTCCTAGTTGTTGGGGGTTTTGGAGGGTTATCGGGGCGTCCCCATCCCCAGCATTGCCTTATGACTCAGACCTGAAGGGGTTCGTGAACTATTCTCATGTTTCATCATGTTTCCAGGTAGAAATCCTTGCGGCAATGGGTAGGCTGATCTAGTGAATCTTGAATGATTGGTTCATCAATGGGCAAGTTGATGCAAGAATATCATTGGTATGCAACCTGAAATATCGTCCCCCCGCAGCACAACTCACTTTTTCATGCTTTTTCAGATTCGCCATGAACAAAGGTGTGACAGTTTGCTTGAGAATGGTAGTTTCCATGATAGAATCCAGTGCTTTCTGAGTTGGTGGATGTACCAGCCAGCCATTGTGCGGTTTCAGAGGTAGCCAAAGCTGCTAAGAATTGATGCACACTTCGCTTAGAACATCTGGCAGGGCTGAGCTTGACGGCTTGACGGGGACTCTCCCAGTTCCTTCACCCAATGAACCATCCAAGCAACCAACCGGGCCATCTTATACCCTCTGGTTATTTAACATAGCCATGGGAAATGACCCATTTATAGATGGTTTACCTGGGTTTACCTATTCAAAATGGTGGATCTTTCCATGGCGAACTGTTAAATAACCAGATGGTAGTCCAAACAAGGACTTTACCTAATAGTGGTGATGGATTACTATTTTCCATCCATGGGGGAAACGCGAATGACCCATGTATCCCATATGATCCTATGGTCCCCAAGGAAAGCGTATTGATTCAAGTGAACAGTTTACCAAAGCATATGATTACCCACCGAAAATGTCCATAAACCAATCAAAGCATCTTAAATCATCTTAAATCAACTAGTCCTAAACCCACCTTTTTTTAAGGACGTTATCCCAGCACTTCATTCTGCCTCCGCCCTTTTTTCGTTTTCAACTCGTCACAGGAACGCTTTGGCCTGGGGAACCCCTCAGAGTTGAATCCTCTACTCGCGGAGCCCACGGTGTGAGCGAAAAAAGAGGATCAGATGGGACTCCGGGACGGTGCGGTTTTGGGTGGTTTTTTCCTCCTGTTTGAGGCACAAAAAAAGGCATGCTTGAAGCATATGCAGATGCAGACTTCAAATTGGGATAAATTGATAAATTGATAAATTGGGAGTTCAGAATAAAAAAGATGTGATTTTAACATATTTTAACCAATGAATTGAGGTTGGTACCTGTAGAAGTGATCCTTTGGGGCGTCGTTGGGGTGCAGTTCATGGGTGTAACTGGTTTTTCACGATGCAAAAAAAGCTCCAAGAGTTGGCATACCACCCCTGTAACTGGTTTAATATGACCACTTATAAGTAGAACTGCATCCCCAAATATAAGCAGTATAGTTGTCCCACTATAATGAGATTCCCCTTGGATTTGGATGGTGGAATTGGCTGAGAAACTTAAGTGCTGGTAGCTCAGTTATACTAAACCAAGGCGACATGCTAACTTGTATCTACAATTGAGCTTTTGAACTGAAGTTTGTGTCATTTGTTTCACATGCTTCGTCCCCATTCAGCTTTTAATTTCTATGTGAGTGCACCCTTGGATACCCTTGGCCTCCTAACGGCTCAACCAGACACCGGCGCGAACGTCATGCGTTCACTGCGCGCGGCTACGTTCTAAGTTCAGGCCTTTCATGTTACCGCCGACTTTCCGCTGCAAGCTTCGGCCACCAAGGGGATAACCATCAGACATATGAGAAATTTGTGGATTTACCCGATCTACAGGATGGTGCCCCATAGTTAGCTAAGTTGGTTTATAGCTCCAATAACTTGGGTTTATGGTAGATATAACGAACTAGTTAATGGTAAGTATTTAAGTGGATAAACACCCGATCTACCCTTAGTTCAGAATGGGGAGTAGACCAAACATACTGGAGATATACAATGGGGACGTAATGGAAAGTATTTGGATATCACTGATATCACAAACAAGATGAAAAAAGGGCATGTCCAAAAATGGGGAAAGAAAACGGGGTTGTTGTAGGAAAAGTGATGACTCAAACTATGGCGTTTTGGACCCAGTGTAGGATAAACTCAGTTTTGACCCCTTTCTGCCTGACTGCCTGAAGATCCAATGGAAGATCTCTGTTCAATCGCATGTTGCTGCCTAATATGAAAGAACTTTGAATCAGGAAGCCTTGACATTTTTTCAGATGAATGAACATGAAACGACTGTACAGATCTACAACAACGTACTGGGTCGTAACAACATTTTGAAGCGTTTCTGTACACTTCCATGCCATGATTTTGGGGTGTGATATACAGGATGTGATTTTGAGTGCCCGGCCAAGGAAATGGGATGACTTCCCCAACAGCAACGATGCTCGGAAGGGACAGGCTTAGCTTGATAAAGTGTTTCACCATACACTTTGGATAAAAATCTGATTTATCACGTCATTTTTCTTTGGCTCTGGAACTAGGATACTCATGGATACCCATCAATTCTCCAATTTATAATACTATTCATTGGGGATGATGATCAACCAGTGGATTTGGGCCAGAAACCAGTGGAAGATGACACTGGACCGGAGGCTACCCGGCCTGGTAAACGTTTCCACAGAACTCACGAACTGGAAAATCAGCATGCTATTTTCATGGGTAAATCAAATGGGTAAATCAACTATAAATGTCATAGAGGAGATTTCAAGTTACCTTGATGTCACTCTGAGCCACGTTTGATCACCACCATTAACCACTGAAATCCCATCAAAAATCATCTCAAAAATCCCATCCAAAATCATCATATTCTCTCAGAAACCAAAAAACACAATATCATAATATCCAGTGTTAGTTATAATATCCCCATATTGTAATCTATAATAATCATTGGTTGATGATTACTACCCAATATATTGAGTTTTGCCAAGTCGTGGATTCCAAGGACGCACGCTGTGCCTGTGGAATTTGGACTTTGCTGGCGATGGCCTTTATAGGCGGATTCAGAGATGATCCAAATCACGTAATAACTGCGTTGTTTCACCGGGGGTTGTATCAGAAGATATGGTCATTCTATCCTATTTGTTGGTAGATATTGGTAGATGTTCCATTTTTATGGATATTTATGATATATTTGTGGTATATCCCAATGTTTCACAACTCAAACGTGCTTTGAAAATCTTTGAAAGAAGCTGTTTCTAGCCATGGAGCAGAGTGGGATGATCAGTGTCGCGATCATGAATGATTTGATGCTTAATGCGGTAAACCCTATGCCCCCCATAAACAACTACCATTTGGACATGGTTGGAATCACACCCATTTATGATGATTTTGGGGATGGTTTAAGACATTGGGTTTGCCACATGACCCCGTTGACTAACATGTTCCAAGGGGGTTGAAACGACCCCAGGCTACTTGAGCGTGGCCACCATCAGTTTTGGAGAGAGCCTTCAATTGCCTGACCAGGAGGCAGGGGAGACACAGAGAGGCAAGCACCAGGTGAAAGTTGCCCGAGAATGGTGATGCAAAGGGAATACCCTCTGGTAAACATACAAAAAGCTATTGAAAATGGCCATTTATAGTTGATTTACCCATTAATAGCATGGTGTTTTTCCATAGTTTTCTGTAAACGTTTACCAGGCCGGGTAACACTAATGATAGTAACCCCCAGAAAGATGGAAAAGCAAAATCCGACTAGAATAGTGGTAAATCATGTTTCTATCGTTTTGGGGGTGACTATAACTAACAATATCATGATGCTTGGCTGTGTCTGAAAAATGGAGAAACTGGCCCCCCAAGTTCCCCAAAATGTTGATGTGGAAGTGCAGATATGAAGCACTGGAAATTGTTTTGCGGTTCCATTTTTTTCACAAAGCTTGAAATCTGGAAAAGATAGATAGATAGATAGTTAGATAGATAGAATATCCAAATTTGATTTTTTGATCCGGTGTTTGTTTTTGTTGGTGATGTTGAGCCTTTTTTTCGATGGGTCAACCGCAGGAAAAGGGTACCAGTGTTCGTTGTGAGATACGCAAAGATGCCACTGGTGATCCTATTGAAGGCCAGTAAAAAAAAAAACCTGTACCCTCTGGTAAACTAACATAACTATGGAAAATCACCATTTGTACTAGGAAAATCAACTATAAGTGGCAATTTTTAACAGCTATGTTAAATTACCAGAGGGTAACCAGACGAAATCCAGTAAACTGGTATGGACCTCATGGTGGGCATCGAAGCAATAGCCATGTGGACCCAACCGACGGAAAATGTGGAGATAAGATCAACTGAGACAACGCAAAGAATTAAAAGCCGGAGATGGAGCCAGATCCATCAGTAACGGAACCCCAACCTCCACTGTAATGGATGACCAGTTCAGTTCAGGCCAATTTTTGTGGAGGAGTTGGTACTGTAGTCATCTTGAAGCAAAATATACCCTCTGGTAAACGTTTACATAACTATGGAAAATCACCATGCTATCAATGGGTAAATTTACTATAAATGGTCCATTTTCAATAGTTTTTTGTATGTTTACCAGAGGAGAGTTGGTAGTTTCAAGATGTTTCAAATATATTTATGTGACATCCATATTTTCCCACTTGGCCAGTTCTGGTAGGCTGCTAGGCCCTTTTTACCAGCAATGATTCCATCATTCAAACACCCGCCAAGTGTCGACGAGTTCTCCCCATAATCATTGTTTTAATATCCCCGGTATTCATCCTGAAACCCATAGGATCCATGGTGCTGGTATATATGCTAACATGACTGGGGTACATTGATTGGATCCATGTTACCATATATAGCAGCACCATGGATCCTATGGGAAATACCTCAACAACCAACCTGATGAATAACAACAACAATGATGTAAAAAACCTGTTGATAATCACATGGCGATGGCTCAAAATTGGCTACCCCTATACATGGATGGTTACCCTCTGGTTATTTAACATAGCCATGGAAAACGGTCCATTTATAGATAGTTTACCTATTAAAAATGGTTATTTTCCATGGCTATGTTAAATAACCAGATGGTTCATTTAAAAAAAAAAACTAAAAACTGTGATCTTCCGGGTCTTCATTTTTGACCCTGTTGATTCATCCTTTTTCCGGGGTTTTGTTGATACCTCAACAAGCGAACTCAAAAATCATTGGGTTGGTGAAAAGGCGAAAATGTCTGCTATTTTCTGCATGTTACCGCGGTGTTTTTTTGCAAATTGAAGAGTTTCCTGATAGCCTCTGGTGTCATCAAACGTGGCGCAACCTGGAAACTCCCAAACCTCCATATTTACAATGGATGTCCCATAGGAACTTCCTATATTTTCCTATGATTTTCCCATGGTAAAAACAGGGAATTGCCCAGTCATCTTTGATGACACCAATTATTCGCCGAGCTGGTGAGGACGTCTATGAGGTCGAGCGTCAGCTGCCACCTGTGTGGATACGACTCTGTGAACTGGCGGCCCTGCAGGCGGCCGGATCTTTTTTGATGGAAAGAATCAGCCAGCCATGGACTGTTTTTGGCAAACCCCCCAAAAAAATGTATTGTATAATAATAATGATAATAATAATGATAATAATAATAATATTCATAATAATAATAATGATATCAATATACATTTATATAAATATAATTATGTATAGATATGTGTGTGCATAGAAAAAACATATATATATATACATGGAATTACATGGATATGTATCATAGAATAATGAATAATGTATCTTGCCTTGCATTTTTGACTGGTTAACTACGATTGAATCATCAAAAGGTGATGTTCAATTTGTCACGACCGCATGATCAACGGGAACAGCATATTAGCCAAGAAGGGCGGGAATGGAAACCACAAAATTGAGGTACACAATGATCCATCCACATCAAAGCACTCTAGGAGCTTTTTTAGGAATATCTTGAATCTTAGTTGGACAAACATAGCTAGAAACGAGGCACATCTAGTACAGATGTTTGAATCCAAAGAGGTCAGAATGGATTCACTTGTCGCGACCTTTTTTTACTGTAGCCAGGCTGCTATCAACTACTCCATCTTCGATCACCTTGTCGCGAAAGGCCTGCACTGCGGGTCAGCCAACATGGCTTGCTGGGTACATGGCTTTGTCTAGTCGGTGAAGTACACCATTTGGGGAATCCCTAGGAAATACCCTCTGGTAAACATACAAAAAACTATGGAAAAACACCATGCTATCAATGGGTAAATCCACTATTTCAATGGCCATTTTCAATAGCTATTTTGACATAACCAGAGGGTATGTTTATTTTGGGAGGGGGACCCTTGAGCCAATCCATGCTGCTTCGCTGGTGATTTTATGAATTTTCGGACTGGTAAATCCACCTGGACTGGGGCATATCCCAGTCCCGGCGATTGATCCTGGTGAAAGGTATGCAAAACTTGGGGGCTGAACAAAAAAAAATGTGATTTTGACAGGGCGGAAGTGAATGGTCGGGTTTTCGTTAACAAAAAAAAAGGACCGGGATTGGAACAACAAGAATTTCTCCTTTCAACGCGTCATTGGGTGCTCACCGGGTGGTACCCTCTGGTAAACTAACATAATTATGGGAAATCACCATGCTATCAATGGGTAAATCCACTATTTCAATGGCCATTTTCAATAGCTATGTAATAAATTACCAGAGGCTTAATCCCATCATATATCCTAATAAATCACCATTAAATCCCATTAAATCACCATTTTCAATGTCGCAAATTCTTAGTTTGCCAATGATGGGTAATGGCCAATTTTGGTGGAGCTATGTAAAAACTCTCCTGCGAATTGATCTTTTTGGGAGGCATCCAGTTGATCGGCCATGACTGGTTGGTGCTTTGGTGCTTTGGAACCATTATTCATTATTAACCTATTAACCATGATATAACCATTATTAACCATTATTAACCATGATATAACCATTATTAACCATGATATAACCATTATTAACCATTATTAACCATTATTAACCATGATTAACCATGATATAACCATGATATAACCATGATATAACCATTATAAACCATTCATGATTAACCACTGGTTGGTGGTGACTGGAACCATGGAATTTTATGTTCCATTTCATATCTGGGTAAATTTGATCACGACCTCACTGTTCTCCCGAGCCCTGGGAATAATGGTTCGGATTCGGGAATCATCCCCAAATTGGCCTTAATTCAGGTTAGTGAAATATTACAATTTACCCCAATAATATATGGAATGTCATCCTTCCCATTGAGGAACTCCATCATTTTTCCAGATGGTTATTGCACAACCAGATGATGTTTGCGTTCTGGCAAACAGTAGTGGCAATGGTATTCCCCCCTTAATTTTTTCAGTGTTTTTTTTTGCAGATGGTTGACGCAGTCAACCCCTTTTCCCTGGTGAAGTACCCATAAGAAGTGTCCAGTTTTGAGGCTACCCCACGTCATCCAAGTTGTGGATGACCTGGGGATTCCCATAAGAAATACCCGGCCTGGTAAACATGACCACAGTTTGCGAACTGGAACATGGCCCAGTCGAAATAGTTGATTGACCCAAATAATCGCATGGTGATTTTCCATAGTTATGTTTGTTTACCAAAGGGTGTATATATATTATAATAATAATAATAATAATTAATAATAATAATACAGTAGCTATGTTCCAATGTCTTGGGACATTCCATTCCAAGAAAAATGGGAAAAGGTGCAATGCTGGTGCATAAACCCCATCGATGGATGTATTGAAAATCAACCCCGTTAAGCTACAGGTATAGTTAACCAATGTTGTATTGTTCTTATGTTTAAGTTGCTTCTAAATCTAGTTGGTTTATAAGAATTTTTAAGTATAGCTACCATAAACCCTGGAAACTGCTAGTTTTTGTCCACCAACTTGGCCCGAAATGAGTTCATCCGTATCTTTTCCATGGAGGTCCATGACGAAAAATATCGCCACCTTCCAGAATTCTGTGCTTGTAGTGATACCACATGGGAACTCAGGATCCTAAAATGGAGGTATGTTAGTACCACGTTAGTCCCATATGTTTGGCCATATTTTGTGAGGAGGTTCCCTCAAAAATAGGCCTCCAAAATAGGCCAACAATATATGGTAGGTAACCTCCAATCGGTTCCTGACGAAATGGCGATGAACATGGCCATTTGTGGATCAGCAAAAAACCACCAACAACAACAACATCCCCATCTGCCCCATCTCAACACCAAACACAAAACAGGACGCGTGAATTATGTCTTGCCCAATGGTACAGAGGACCGGTTCCGGTGGTTCCGCCACTTCGATGGGGTCCCAATGAAGTCCTGGGTGCCAAACCCAGTGATGGGGTGCCACTACATAAGCCATTCAAAAGAGCACTGCTGGATCTGTTAATTGTTGTTTGTGGGACTTACACAACTTGGTTTATTGAGATTATAGCCTACTATCCTGGATACCTATTCATCAAGCATTTATCAAAAGCGGTGTAAATTGGATTGGATAGGGCAATTTCCCTCTGGTAAACTAACGTGTTGCTATGGAAAATCACCATTTTTACTGGGTAAATCCACTATTTCTATGGCCATTTTCAATAGCTATGTTTGTTTACCAGAGGGTTAGCCTTCATGTCTCGCCTGTGGAGGAGAGTTTCGGGGTGGATTTCAATGTGTCACAGCCAGAGATCTTTCGGCCCACACCGGACTTCCGCTGCAAACGCTTCAGCCCCTTGGCGCGGTTTGGTGCGGTCACCGGGGTGAAGAAACTTGGAAACTTGTGGCACAAAAATGATATATGATGGGATTTGATGGGATTTAATGGGATTTAATGGGATTTAATGGGATTTGATGGGATTTAATGGGATTTAATGGGATTTAATGGGATTTAATGGGATTAATGATAGTATAGCCTCTGGTAAACGAACATTTTGCTATGAGAATCACGATGTTTCATAGGTAAATCAACTAGAATAGCTACGTTAAATTACCATAGGGTACCCCTAGGTAATCAAGCCCGGCAATGGAAAATCCCCGAACTAAATGGAGGTTCCAATTGGGAAAATCATCTATAAATGGTGGATTTTCCATTGCCATGTTACTACCGGAGGGTAAATCCTGCTTAAATGGCTATTTCAATGAGGAAAACCATGATACTTCACATGAAATCAGTGAAGTAGCCTATTTTTAGATACTCTCTGGTAATTTAACATAGCTATGGAAAATGGACCATTTACAGATGATTTTCCCAATAAAACCTCCATTTATAATGGATTTTCCATAGCTATGTTAAATTACCAGAGGGTAATTGCAAAGACTATTGCTTGCACCTCTTTTTTAAGGCAGATCATCTTTCTCCATTTGTGTGACCTCAACTGTAGTTTTATCTGCATTGCTCCACTCATCCTTGACACGGCACCGTGCCCAAACCGCTAAGGCTTGAACATGCGGATGCCTGAAGAGGCCTTGATGCCATACCATGTTTTTGAGGCGCGACAGCGAGAAATTCCCATGAGAAATCCGCAACTGTATCCTTTGGGAAATGGTCATAATCAAACAGGATGTTTAAAAGGAGGAAGCCTGAGCCAGAAAAAAAACACATATTCAGCTGTACAATGCACTCCTTTAGAACAATGGTAGTCATTAGGTTCAAAATGTGGCAAATTCCAAGAAGAAATTCCACCCTAGAAGAGAAAACAGGATATATCTCCACTTTGAAGCATTAGCTGCAACAGAATATGTATGTAATAAAATGCAAAATTACAGTGGATAAGTTCAGGTCGTGTACTTCTCATAAACAATAGTTATCCTCCTTTTTGCGAGGCAAACATCATGAAAATTGGATATATATGTATGTATATATATATATTATTATATTATATTATATTATATTATATTATATTATATTTTATGTATATATATATACATTGTTTTGAAACCTAGGGATACACTACTGTCATGTTTCCATATAATTGTGGTACAATACTACATTCTTTTGAAAAAAATTAGTCGTCTTTGAAACACAACCTTAATTCATCTACAAGGCCGATTTCAGTTAGAAAATTAAGGAAACTCCCTGGTGTTTCAAACAGGTGTGGAAGTACATAACAAGTTGAATGAGTTTGAGCTGCGCAGCGCAGCAGCTGACCAAAGAAAATGTAACACATTGAGCTAAAGGCAAAATTGCAAACAATATCTGGCAATGCAGTTGTTTTCACTTGCTTTCATTGCCCAAAGAGAAATATGTGTATATAGTCTATGAAGTTGTATGCCTGTGCTATATTCCCAGCAGACAATGCTTTGAAGAAATGAGGTTCTTCAAAGAAGTGCAATTTTCCTCACAAAGCATCCACTTCAGCCAAAAAGTTGTTGTTATTTACAAGCTGGTGGTTGCTTTTGAGCTAGTATTTTTTTTTCAGGAAGAAATCTGTTTGTGAAGGTTGGATTGTTTAAGAACAATATGTGTTATCTACGATGTGTATTGTGTTCTGAAGTGCAATTTTCCTGTCTTTCTTTTATCATGTTAACATTCCTTCAGGTAGATGCTGTTTTCTTCAAAGATTGAATACTTAACTTAAAGTTGCAATCGTATTTAAAAAATGAAAATAAACAGTTTAGTTTAAATAACAGAAACAATAGTGTGTCAAAATATGCACTGTGTCCTTTAAAGATGTAAAATTCCTCTCAAAGAAGCTCAGCTGGCCTTTATGTTTGAAAGTAGCACCATTTCTTTAAAAACATGTAACACTCCTTTCAAAGAAACCCAGCTGCCATCTGTTTGGAAGGAACAACATTGTTTGAAGGAAATGTCTTACTCACCAAAATTGAATCAGCTGCATCTTTTGAAAGTTACACCATGATTTGAACATATGTAACAGTCCTTTCAATCACACCATTTCTGTGTAAATATGTAACACTCCTGTCAAAGAACTCCAGCTGCGCTCTCCTGGGACAGGAAAACCATCTATTTGAAGGCTCCAAAAACATAATGTTACATCCCCAAAGGCTTCACACCTGAAAAGGAAAATTGCACATCCCCAATGAATACTGCGCATGTTTAGCATACACAATTGTTTTAAGTAATGACTTCACAAGAATGCCTTGGGGGCAAGATGAATCAGATTTGGTTTGGATTACTCTGGATTAATCCTAAGGAATCAAAAACCCAAAGAAAAAAACAAAGAAACAAAAAAAGGGGAGAAAAAAAAAATGTTTTCCAGACTAGCCTGAACATGCCTAGATCCAAGTAGTCCCCAAAACATTGAGTGTTTTTGTGTTTTTTGTTTTTTTGGTTTTGGGTGATTAACCACTCTAAGCTCTATTTCCACTAGAAAAGGCGTGTGCATGGACAGCAAAAGACCAATATGGTTTTAGATCATGTAATGTATTTGGGGAAACAAATTGCCTTTTGCGCGCCCACAACAAGCCTGTCTGTATTTCTAATAGAAGAGGCTTGCGCATGGACAACAAAAAACATAAGATCATGTAATATATTCGAAAATGAATATATACAAACAATTGGTGATTTCAGCGCTGGCAACAAGCCTTTCTGAAAAAGAAATACAGGAAACATCAGGAAACCATGGTTTTGATGATTGGATTATTGAATATACCCTCTGGTTATTTAACATAGCCATGAAAAATGGTCCATGTATAGATGGTTTACCCGGGTTTACTTATTAAAAATGGTGATTTTCCATGGCGAACTGTTAAATAACCAGAGAGTAGGTTTTCCCGGGATCCACGAAGCAGATCTTGCATCATATCAGGTTCGAAAATTCCAACAGAGCGTGATCCTCTTCTGCCCCCTGCCCGTCCTGAAAAAACCAGCTGAGAACCGGCACTTTCCCGGTTCAGCCGTTCTTTTAGAAAAAACCAGCTGAGGTCAGATGAAGTTGGATGTTCTATGATGTTCTCCATGAAAGTGTTGGTGCAACTAGACCGCTAGAGTCTATAGAGGTCTCAACTCCAGCCAGTCAGTGTAGGGCTTGGCAAGTTTGATCCATCACATAGCGTGACTGGCTTCATCCACCAGCCCCAAAAATCTCGACTCTTCCAGTGGTAGATTGATGGAAGATTCGCCGTTTTGCTTTGCCCCAAAAAAAACATGCTCTGCTGGGTCAAAATCCTTGGTGCTTTAACCCAAGTTCTTGCTGGGATGTGAGGATCTTCATCCCTCAAATATGGCAGAGTTGTTTCAGGTCTTCGTTTTAAAATTGATCCCCAGTTCTCAATAGTAGTGGTTAAGATTGGTGAAGCCATGATATACCCATTCTGCAATGTGGGGAAAACCAGTTATGTTTGATGCTTTATAAACCCATTAACTGTAACTATAGTTATTTGCGTATCATCAACCATAGTTATCCATAGTTATTGGACTTATAAACGCACCAACCATAGTGACATTGGAGTTGTTTGCACGCACCTTTTTTGTGAAACGCCCCACATTGGATCCGCCGCAGCGTCAGGTTGGGATCCAGGAACCCTTTCACTCCAAGCTTTCGGCCATGAAGCTTGACCCAGCTTGACCCAACGGGACCCAACAGCCTCACCGGCCTCGGTGAAGAGTTGAGAACTTTTTTTTTTTTCGGATCTTGAAACTCGTTGGTTTTTCTGCGAAAGTGATAGATTCGTTCATATGATTTTAATTGGGAAATGATGAAGTGACTGAATTTTGGTGCAAATTTTGGTGCGCCACACAGTTTCATTGAGGATCTTGTAAGAACCAAGTGATTCAGTGATTCAGTAATCAATGCCGTCATGTTGTATGACTAAGCATTCGCGGGGTCAGAAAATGCAGAAGCAGCAAGACTCCATCATCGTGAGTAGTAAACAGTAGTAAAGGGTAACAATAGTAAGATTAATAATAACAATGGTAAATAATAATGATATAATAATAATATAATAGTAATGATAATGATAATCATCATCATCAGTTTTAGTGAAAATCGTGTCATTCATGGTTGTCATACATTGTAATACATTGTCATACATTGTCATCATGATTCATGCACCATGTTCTTCTTTGCAACTTGGATGTCCACATTGTGCTCGTCATCATCACTCATGTCAACCTCGGATTAATTAATCGACCATTGTTTTTTAACAACAGTTTATAAGCCATTATAATCCCCATTAACTAGTTCGTTATATCTACCATAAACCATTGAAATCAGCCACTTATAAACCAACTTAGCTATCTTGGGGGGGCCCATCCTGTAGGGGGACATTCGGGGTTTATTCATCCAGGGTTGATATTCTCTGAGGAACGGCCTCTACACGCGCGGCCTCTTCTTTGGTCCATCCTTAGCTGAGAACGCGACCAATCCTCACGCCTGTCAGGCGGCACCATGACGGCCACAGAAAAAATGGATGATGTTGGAATCCACAATCGCCCAAGACTGTACTGATTCTCAAGATAAACATGTTATTTTATGGTTGATCTATAATTATAATATGATTATATGCTTGTGATATTGAGATAGATTATACTTGGGATATCAAGATTACCCTCTGGTTATGTCAAAATAGCTATTGAAAATGGCCATAGAAATAGTGGATGTTCCCATTGAAAATGGTGGATCTTTCCATAGCTACGATGTGTTTCGTAGGGACATGGGTGACATCATCCCATCCATCGTTCCAGGAGGAACACTTACTGAAGATGTGGGTGCCGAGTTCGTGCCTTGCTCTCCGATGAAGCGAAAATATTAGCATCGGCTGTCCTTTTATCACTGGTTGGTTGATAAATAGAGGGTCTATCCCAAATAAAACAACAAAAGGTGAATGATGGTAAATGGCACCGTCTATTTATACAAAAAGGACACCTATGAAATTGACAGGAAACCATAGGAACCCCCTTTTTTTGGGTGGTAAACACATGTAAAAACCCATAGCTTCCTGTAGATGTTCCATTAAAACCCCTAAGGAAGCACGGATTCCTGTAGATTGTCCTTTAAACCCATTGCCAAAATTTACTGTATGGAACATGAAATCAATGGCCATTTCAGGATCCTAAATTGGAGGTACCTTCCATATATAAGGCCTATGTAAGGCCTATGTAAGTGAATATCCCACAAAATATGGCCTTATATGGTACAGTACCTCCAATTTAGGATCCTGAAATGACCATTGATGAAAAGTTGTAACTTCTGTATCCAAACCGATGGGGAAAGGCCCTCACCATGGGCTCGTGGCATGTTCATAGTCCCCCCAAGTCTATTGCTGCTGATTGGTGGTTTGGAACGTTAATATTGGTTAATCATAGATATGTGGTTAATATATGGAAATACATGGTTAATATATGGACTTTTATGAATTTCTATATATTGGGAATAATCATCCCAACTGGCTTTCATATTTTTCAGAAGGGTAGGTATACCACCAACCAGTTATTTTTGACTGCCAATGATGTCTTCGCGTTTATACGTGTGTAAACTAACGATGTGGAACTCCACCGTGAGCGGATCATTCTCCTAGGAAAACCATGACTGGTTGGTGGTTTCAAACATGTTTTATTGTCCATGATATATGGGATAATCCTTCCCATTTGCGAACTCATATTTTCCAGATGGTTAAAACCACCAACCAGATGACTGTTTTCCACACCTGGGCTAGTTTGCACCAGGGTATACCATCTTATCTCATTACATTTTCCTCGGTTCGAAGATTCTCCTTCGATTTCTCAAAATCCTTCACTTTCCGACCTTCCCTGCCGAAATCAAACCTGGCAATGGAAACGAAACGTTTATATCATGGAAACATAATAAAAATCATCTATGGCTATATCCTTGCGACTTATTATTTCCCAGAGCCATATGCGGCATTGCCCAGAGGTTAGCATCGAAACTGGATACTGATGATCACCAATTAGTATAAGACCAGACATTCCAATCAAGCACTTTAGGGAATTCACGAAGTCCACGTTTTCATAAATAAAAATCATCTAGAACTCGATTCTTCATGGTAATCTCCGCCATTTTCCAGGGTTGCCCGTTTCACCATTCCCACATCAAACAGGTGTTCATGGGTTCCCCACAGGAAGCTGCCGGGCTTGCGCAACGTGGTCATGAACGTGGCTCCCTCGCAAGCTCTCTGGAGTGACTCATTGGGAGGACGACAAGGCGCGCTGCTCCCTCGCTGCCATGGGATGCCATATGATATCAGTCGGAATGATATTAATCAATATTAATCATAGTTGAATATGATCATGACAAATATATATATATATAACATACTATATAATTATAATATTATGATATATTATGATATATTATGATATATTATGATATATTATGATATACTATATCTTATGTATTGTGATATCGTACTCTCATGATATTGATGTACTATTACACTACTGTAGTATTATAGTTAATTATTGATTGTACTTAATTATAGTATAGTTAGATGATATCATGGTATCATGATATAGTATCACTATCGTCATATCATGGTATTATGATATAGTGATATGATATCAAACTATGATGTTATATACATATACATATATATATATATATACACGCAACTATGTTTTATGACATTCTATATAATAGCATACGATTCATACGATCTAACTTGTTTGTATGATATCATACTACGATGATATTTATTATATATATATATACGTATGTATATATATATATATCGTCATGATGTTATGTACTATTTCATGAGCTACGTTTCAGAATTTTAATAATGCAGAAAAATGCATGGTTATGATGTGTCTTGACGATTTGACAGATTCGTATGGGAGTGAAACCTATGAGATACCAGGATGAACATCAACAATTACCAACTAGTTTGTGTATGAACTACATGCCAGGGTTTCGACCCGAATACCGTACACAAACGATGACAAATACCGTACTCGTACGTAAAATAGAACATAAAATTATGATGATTACTGTATTGTACTATGACAATACTGAATAGTTCTAGAATGTTCCGTGCTTGTCAAGTTGTATCTCGATGGGATCGTCAGTAGTATCTCGAAAAACAATTCATGTCCTGTCTACAGCAAGATTTGTTTGTTTGTGGGTTCCATTAAAAGTGATTTCCACCCTGAACAATGTGTTTTTTCTAGGATCCTATAAAAAATGATCACAACATAGAAATGTGAATTCCTATAATAATTAGTGACTTTCTATCCTATATTCTATTGTTTTCCTTTGTTTTTGTTGCTGATTTTTCACTGAACCGCAGAAAAAAAGCCTTCGAAAGAGGGCCTGCCTGGGCCTGGCGTCGCCAGGTGCTCCCTGCGACGACACGCACTTCTTTGCGGATGCTTGGGTTGGTCTTCGAGTGAAACTGACATGGGTATGGGTCAATACCTATTAATACCATTTTTAGTGGGATGAACATCCATTTACCAGCTATTTTGGGGTTCACTAGGTACCAGGGTTTTGACCCATCCCCACATAGTTTCTGACATGTCTGGAAGGATGTATCAGAAACTATGTCAGATATCTGGAAGGATATATACTGACATTATTATGACATATGTCTTCTGACATTCTTTCTCGCATCCTATCTGGCATCTATTCTGACATTGTGGTTGGCATCTTTCTGCGAAGGAATGAATGGATACCCTCTGTTAAATGAAATATCCTCTATAAATTAATGTTAATGAAAATATCTATGGATACCCTCTATTAATATCCTATATTAATGGATACCCTCTATTAAACCCTCTATAAATAGAGATTTTAATGTGAAAATCATCTATAAATGTTGGACCGTTGCCAAGTTTGATTACCTGATGTTTTTTTTCGATTAACAATAAAGATGAGGAATACGGATCAACAATGTCACTCTTAGACCAAACATAGATCATATGCCGATGTATAAATTATATATACGTATAGTTATATATATATATGTCCTTCAATCTGTAGTATCAACCCCCATGTTCCCCGTAGCTGTGTAGCCGTGTCAAGTGATCACAGGTTCGTTTCAATTCTCCACACCCCCGACCCTTTCTACTTTTGGTTACTTCCCAGTTTCCATCTCTGGAAACTCTAGCAAAATGTTGAAGGCCTATCAACCATATGTCTAGGATGGTGAAACAACTATACAATGTGGTACCCTTCCGCTTATAAGTTGGTTTATAACCACCGTTAACTATAGATATATCTATCATAAGCCCTAGTTATGAGAGTTATAAGCCAAGATGGCTATCTTGGGGTCCCGCTCCTCAGGATATCAGCATGGTTCCAGAAGCAACTGTGCATGGTCTTGACACGACGCCTGACCAAAAATGTCTCAGTGTCCTCGGAAAGGCTGCGAAGGGTAACCAATGTGGATCACTAAGATGATCTAAGTACTTGATAAGAAGCTAGAGTTTCATTCCAACAGATGACTTCTTCGCAGAAAATAATTTCTACCACAGAAACAGCACCATGCAGCCCTTTGCAAACGCCGAGGAAGAAGTTTGAAAATCAGAGTGTCACAGCGCGAGCCACGCTGCGAATGGTGGTGCCAATTTCTCACCAAGAGATCCAGGTGTTCCACTTCCATAACGACCTGGTGATACTCGGTTCGAAGAAGGGGAAGGTGGAAGCTAATATTAATATTACCCTCTAGCAATTTAACATAGCTATGGAAAATCACCATTTTTTATGGGAAATTCCACTATAAATGGTCATTTTCAATAGCTATGTTAAATTACCAGAGGGTATGCTTAATCACTAGGTCAATCTGAAAAATGGATACTTTAATCCTAACTAGTCTTTTGGTATTAATGGGAATATATACGTTCACCAGCAAAGAATTTAATTTTTTGCAGGGTATCTAAGATTGGCAATGATCATTAGTTAACAGTTCATACTATGGAAGGTGGAACCCATTATATTCAATATATTAATCTGGTTGGTGGTTTCAAACATTTTTCCATATATTGGGAATAATAATCCCAACTGACTTTCATATGTTTCAAAGGGGTAGGGTTCAACCACCAACCAGTAATACTAATCACTATGGTTAATCATTGATATTATTAATAGGTTCCTGGTGAACCATGTTCCATCTCTGATTTTGATAGGCTGATTTGATGATGCCTGGAGGCAAAAAAATCAGTTGATGTCGCTGCTAATCGTCTCGAAAGTGTTTTTCGCTTTCTGGAAAGCTCGGAGGAGCTGGCGTTTTTCATGTCATGCTCATCATACAATGTGGGGCCCCCGTTCGATAGCTAAATTGGTGCAAATAACTCCAATAACTATGGTTTATGGTACTTATAACTATAGTTATGGGGGTTTTTAAACCAACTTATAACTGGGGGGGCCCCACATCATAAACTGTCTTCAATTCCAAGTGACTCGTGAATGTCGGCAATGATTCATCCAAATTCAGATTCTAAGATTTTCTTTAATTCATTCAAATATCCTGAAACTTGAAAGTGACTATTTAGGATGAACCATTCCCGAAAGATTCCTGATTCACAACTCAATTAACTGCCATGATCGTTGAAAAAATCGACATCCAGCAAGCTCTGGCCGCGCTGAGGGCAAACACCTTGTCCTACATTGGTAAGTTGGTCTCAGCCACGGTGATTTTTAAACTCATGGCATCTCGGGCCGCGAAAAAATCGCCATGGATCTGGCGTTGGAAAAGGATGGATCGCAAAGATGTTGATCCAAAATATGGCATTTGCTGAAGCTGGGATGGTCTATGCGGGAAGTTTACCCTCTGGTAATTTAACATAGCTATTGAAAATGGCCATTTATAGTGGATTTACCCATTAACAATGGTGATTTTCCATAGCCATGTTAAATTCCCAGAGGGTATGCCATGTTAAAACCACGGAGCTGACTGGGACGGCATAGTCAAGTTTAGATGTCAATGTCAATGCTGGTGCTCAAAAACATGGCTCCTTTGATTCAACGTCCAAATTATCACAAAATCATACCAAAGGCCAATGCCCAACACCCCGCAACAAGCACTGGGAGGTCCATACTTGAAGGGCCAGATATAGTGCTGTATGCTTGATTCAGACATATATCTACAGCATGTCTATATTCACGTGTATTACAAGTACATACACGTTACCCTCTGGTAAACTAACATAACTATGGAAAATCACCATTTTCAATAGCTATGTTAAATTACCAGAGGGTAAATTAAAAAATCAACCTTACAAGAAGGGTAGACATAGATTCCAATAAGTGTATGAAGGGAACATCTACAAGAACCTTTTTTTGTGTGGGTAAAAACCGGCCAGTTTTTCCAGTTGAGATTTTCCCAACAACATCACTAGATGAGAATGTTCAGTTAAGAATTTCCAGTTGCGAGATGATGTTGTTGGGAAATGAATTCCCTAACATTCCAGTGATTTAGAATTAAAAATCAACTGCAAATGATCTCAAAAAGCAAGAGGTACACTCAATAATCATCCATGATTATTGCTTAGTTTTCCATATTTGTTCATTCTTAACATTTCTTAACCGTTTATCATCTGAAAACGACAAGATCTCTCCACGTCCTTGACGTGTCCGGGTCCGGTTTTAAAAAGGACCCCCTTTTTTTCAGGTCTCGATCTTTCCGCAGATCCGACAGAAGAGGCGCAGAGCTCGTTGTGCATGTTTCGGGCCTCCAAGGAAATCTTGGGGATCATCTAAGATAGTTGAACTTAGATCAGTTACCCTCTGGTTATTTAACATAGCCATGGAAGCCATGGTCCATTTATAGATGGTTTACCTATTAAAAATGGTGATTTTCCATGGCTATGTTAAATAACCAGATGGTATATCATGTTCGAACTCATGTTACATCATGTTACATCATGCTATATCGTGTTATATCCCATTTCAGATTTCTTCAGAAGCCCTGTTTAAAATTACGGGTTTCACGACGAGAACCAGTATACATCCATGTTTAAGTACACGATGTTTTACCTCGTGAATCAGTTCTTAGTTTGTGAATGACCTTGGCGTTACCCTCTGGTTATTTAACAGTTCGCCATGGAAGCCATGGCCCTAATCGAAATAGATGATTGTCCCAGCGAACGAAACCTCCATTTATGGTTGGGATTTTCCATGAACTGTGGATGTCATAACCTCCATTTATGGTTGGGATTTTCCATGAACTGTGGATGTCATAACCTCCATAATTATGGTTGGGATTTTCCATGAACTGTGGATGTCATAACCTCCATAATTATGGTTGGGATTTTCCATGAACTGTGGATGTCATAACCTCCATAATAATGGTTGGGATGTTCCATGAACTGTGGATGTCATAACCTCCATAATAATGGTTGGGATTTTCCATGAACTGTGGATGTCATAACCTCCATAATTATGGTTGGGATTTTCCATGAACTGTGGATGTCATAACCTCCATAATTATGGTTGGGATTTTCCATGAACTGTGGATGTCATAACCTCCATAATTATGGTTGGGATTTTCCATGAACTGTGGATGTCATAACCTCCTAATGGTTGGGATTTTCCATGAACTGTGGATGTCATAACCTCCATAATAATGGTTGGGATGAACTGTTGGGATTTTCCATGATTTTCCATGAACTGTGGATGTCATAACCTCCATAATAATGGTTGGGATTTTCCATGAACTGTGGATGTCATAACCTCCATTTATGGTTGGGATTTTCCATGAACTGTGGATGTCATAACCTCCATAATAATGGTTGGGATTTTCCATGAACTGTGGATGTCATAACCTCCATAATAATGGTTGGGATTTTCCATGAACTGTGGATGTCATAACCTCCATAATTATGCTTGGGATTTTCCATGAACTGTGGATGTCATAACCTCCATAATTATGGTTGGGATTTTCCATGAACTGTGGATGTCATAACCTCCATAATTATGGTTGGGATTTTCCATGAACTGTGGATGTCATAACCTCCATAATTATGGTTGGGATTTTCCATGAACTGTGGATGTCATAACCTCCATAATTGTTGGGATTTTCCATAAACTGTGGATGTCATAACCTCCATAATTATGGTTGGGATTTTCCATGAACTGTGGATGTCATAACCTCCATAATTATGCTTGGGATTTTCCATGAACTGTGGATTCATACCCTCCATAATAATGGTTGGGATTTTCCATGAACTGTGGATGTCATAACCTCCATAATTATGTTTGGGATTTTCCATGAACTGTGGATGTCATAACCTCCATAATTATGTTTGGGATTTTCCATGAACTGTGGATGTCATAACCTCCATAATTATGCTTGGGATTTTCCATGAACTGTGGATGTCATAACCTCCATAATTATGGTTGGGATTTTCCATGAACTGTGGATGTCATAACCTCCATAATTATGGTTGGGATTTTCCATGAACTGTGGATGTCATAACCTCCATAATTATGGTTGGGATTTTCCATGAACTGTGGATGTCATAACCTCCATAATGGTTGGGATTTTCCATGAACTGTGGATGTCATAACCTCCATAATTATGCTTGGGATTTTCCATGAACTGTGGATGTCATAACCTCCATAATTATGCTTGGGATTTTCCATGAACTGTGGATGTCATAACCTCCATAATTATGGTTGGGATTTTCCATGAACTGTGGATGTCATAACCTCCATAATTATGGTTGGGATTTTCCATGAACTGTGGATGTCATAACCTCCATAATTATGCTTGGGATTTTCCATGAACTGTGGATGTCATAACCTCCATAATTATGCTTGGGATTTTCCATGAACTGTGGATGTCATAACCTCCATAATAATGGTTGGGATTTTTCATGAACTGTGGATGTCATAACCTCCATAATTATGGTTGGGATTTTCCATGAACTGTGGATGTCATAACCTCCATAATTATGCTTGGGATTTTCCATGAACTGTGGATGTCATAACCTCCATAATTATGCTTGGGATTTTCCATGAACTGTGGATGTCATAACCTCCATAATTATGGTTGGGATTTTCCATGAACTGTGGATGTCATAACCTCCATAATTATGCTTGGGATTTTCCAAGGTGAGTCATAACCAGATGGTAAAAACCATGACCGGCAGCCGCCTTTTTTCCGTAGCCAGGTATCATTTCTTGACGATCATCCCTTGGCTCAGCCTTGGCTACGAGTCCCTCGAATTCGAGTCACGTGGCTTTCACGCGGCAAGGAGAAGCACCGACACGTCGTGAAGGGATTTGATGTGGTGCCCCTCCAGTTACCCTCTGGTTATGTCAAAATAGCTATTGAAAATGACCTGAAATAGTGGATTTTCCCATTAAAAATGGTGATTTTCTATAGCTATGTTAGTTTACCAGAGGGTATAAGTTGGTTTGTAACCCCATAAAAACATCCATGAACTATACTGACTATAGTTATATCTACCATAAGTCCTAGTTCTGAAAGTTTTCAGCCAAGTTAGCTATCTTGGGGGCACCACCCAGTACCAAAGAAATAGTCTAAAAACCCGGGGTCTAATCCGTTTGAGGATATTTGAGATCTTTTGGACTTAGATCTCCAAAGCGTCTGTTTCCAAAGAGTGGCCTTCCCACCTGTGTTTCACTGGTGTTCACTGGAGTTGTGGCGCACAGTCTTGGGTGAGATGCACCCACAAGCAGCGATACTTCAACCATGTGCAGGTGAGACTGTGAATCAGATCTGCATGTGGGATGTTGAACTCTTCAAACGTGTACCCTCCGGTGTCCAACGTGGCGCTTATGGTGGAAAATCCCCCCCAAGATAGTTTGATGATTTTCCCAGCGAACAAAGCCTCCATTTAGGACTATAACTGGTTGGTGGTGACTGGAACCACGGATTTTTATTTTCCATTTCATATATGGGATGTCATCCTTCCCATTGACTTTCACTCCATCATATTTTTCCAGATGGGCACATTGCACCACCAGCCAGCATAGATACTGAAAATACCTTGAAAATTACCATGATTAATGGGTAAATCAACTATTTCGACTGGGCCATTTTCCACTTCGCAAACTGTTTGTTTACCAGAGGGTAGTTCATGGATTTCGCAGCCAAGGCCGTTGATCGACAAGTCCCTGCCATGACGGCTGAAGAGCCTCCGGTGGCACAGCCAGGGCACCGGAAACGAACGCAACGCGCAGCGAACGTGGAAAAGAGTTGAGTTTTATGTGTGAAACGGCACCTGAGCAGTTTCAAAAGCCTAAAATGTTCATGGGAGAATGGGAGAATTATGAATTGGGATTCAACTATCATTTGCAGGCTTCAAGCCTCAAAGTCAAACATATGGGATTTAGCCGATAAATAATGTTTGGTTGATGACTAGTTCGAAGTTTGTACCACTCTTTACATATCGGAGATTGTTTTAATCCATGATGGAAATTCCATTGGCCAACCATTACAACTTATAATGGATTGCCCCCTAAGTTTTTCATATCAGTTGCATATACCAAGACATCCTTTTGAAGTTCTCTGGGGTGAATCAGTGACTGAATCGGCAGTGGATTGGGTCCTACATTTCCCTTCTTTGGAGATCTTTTTGGAGTTTTAAACATGTGAAGAGGTGCTGAATTGCATTTGGCGTAGCCACCACCCCAACCGAAAAGATGACATGGAGGAAATCCTGGTGGTTTCAGGTGTGATTTGTTCTTCCCTAAAATCCTGACCAATCAATCGACCCGAACAAGTGACCGTTGCTCGCCCGCAGATGTTGATCCGCCTACACGATCGACTGTTGGCCAAGCAGTCAGTGATGCAATGCGCTGGGAGCCCCATCGATGGGCCCACTGTCGCTGTTAATGGTGCTTCTTCCAGGGAGATTTCCATGCGGGTTAACGAAGTTGACCAGACTTTGAGACTTTGATCAGACTTTGATCAGCTTCCCATTGACTACGAAGATCGATCGGAAGCCAATCGAAAAACTGTGATATGGCGCAAGCCGCGCATCAAAATATCTGTTGGATGGCGCCTTGCGTTACCATGGGAAAATCATCGCTTTCATGGCCGGGCGGATCCGCGGCGGCCTGATGTTTGAGGTCTTGAAGGGCTTGCTGAACGTTCAGGTTGGGCCGAAGGGATCTTTGGAGAATTCTTTCGAACAGGAAATTGGCCCAGCAATCCCAGCAAGCAGAAAAAAAACTGATGGGCTTGATTCAAGTGAGGAATCATTAATGTCATATCTCTGGGTAAATTTGATCACGACCTCACTGTTCTCCCTCACTGGAAATCATGGTTAGTAAGGGAAATCATCCCAAAATGGCCCAACAATTCAGGTTAGTGAGATATTATTTCATTTACCCAGATTCATGTCATATCTGGAAGTCCCAAAAGGTCCATTTAGGATGTGCTATAGGATGTGCTATTCCTCACCAAATTTTGGCGAAGTCGCTTCGGTTGCAGCTGGTTTTATAGGTAGCAGCTGGCAGTGAATCCCCCCTTGGGTTTTCCACAGCTTTGTAACTTGGAAGTTGACCTCAAGAACCCATAGATACTGACTGGTTGGTGGTTTGGAACATGAATTTTATTTTCCATTTCATATATGGGATGTCATCCTTCCCATTGACTTTCACTCCATCATATTTTTCCAGATGGTTATATAAAACCATACAGCATAGATACCTTGAAAATTCTGAGGACCGCCCAATAGGTACAATATATGTAATCAATATGTTACGTAACATCCCTTTCGGAGGTTCTGCATCGCAGAATTTTCGTGAGCACAGAAATTGTGAATGTCTATTCTCAGGTTACCCTCTGGTAATTTAACAGTTTGCTATTGAAAATGACCATAGAAATAGTGGATTTTCCGATTGAAAATGGTGCTTTCCTATAGCTATGTTAGTTTACCAGAGGGTAAGCTCCCCAAGTGTTTCCATGGACATACATGGCAGCAATGGTATTGCGAACGATGATTGATGATTTCATGGACAGGGCCAAAAACGAAAAACAGAAATTACCATCTGGTTATTTAACAGTTCGCCATGGAAAATCACCATTTTTAATAGGTAAACCATCTATTTCTATGGGCCATCTATACCATGGCTATGTTAGTCATAACCAGAGGGTATGTCTCAAAATTGTGCATGTCACACAGGCACTCTGATGGCCCAGAAAGCGCCTTTTTCGGGTCTGAAAATGACCCAAGCAAAAGCCAGAAAATTGGAGGGTGAAGCCATCAAGGTGATTGCTAGAACTCCAGAACATTGACCCATTTGAATCTCTGCTTCTGTCAGATTCTATTCATTTCCATGTTTTTTGGGGTTTAAATATGTGGAAAAATCCATGCATCCCACTTTTCCAAAAATTGATCCACATGTTCCCCACTTATTAATGTTTTAAAGCTCATTCTCCAATTGCCAGTTACCACTTTTCCCATCTATGGCCCTGACAGGCTCGCGAAATGAGAACTCTAAAGGCGCACCCGGAGTCATGTGGATGGGAGACGCGACCAGACCTGGTACCACTATGGCGCCAAGAATTGAAACCACAGATAGAAACCAGCTAGATACCCTCTGGTAATTTAACATAGCTATTGAAAATCACCATAGAAATAGTGGATTTTCCCATTAAAAATGGTGATTTTCCATAGCTATGTTAGTTTACCAGAGGCAATTTAGATCAATTTAGGCCAGAAGTTCTTCCCCAAATGGTTCTCATCCCATTGGCCCATAAATTGCCTATCTATATCCCATTCAACCATTGGCCATCAATTTAAGAATGGGAACCACCCAGCTTCCATATCCCATTCGTTCCCATTCTAAAATGCCACCGGGTGGTATCCGCTTCATTTCCAAGTCGCGGTGGGAGGCGATCCAATTGCGGTGTCATCAAACATGAGTAGCGAAATCCCGCTCTACAATAAGCATGAAGATATGGGAAAATCATCTGTAAATGGGGTCTTTTATATGGGAACATCATCTGTAAATGGGGTTGTTTATATGGGAACATCATCTGTAAATGGGGTCTTTTGTATGGGAACATCATCTGTAAACGGGGTCTTTTCCAGCCATCTTTGATAGAGAGTAAGTGGCTGGTGGTGTCAAATATGGTCTTATTTTCAACCATAGAAATAAGACGTTGATCCCCACAGACTCTGCAATTCTTTTTCGGGAGGTGGCTTAACCACTCACCAGATATTTCACGCCTCTGTTTGCCAACAGTTCCAAAGATGTTCCCCAAAAACCATGTCCGTATCCTAACATCACCAAAATTGGTGGTTGGATGGTATGGTAAATCCTCCAGATGTGGAACCAACGACGATCAGGATTTATCCAACTGGGGATGGAAGCGTGAAAATACACATGCCAAAAGGGGCCTCTGATAAACCAACATAGCTAAAATCAGCATGCTATTAATGGGTACATCAACTATTTCGATGGCCAGTTTCAAGTTCGCAAACTCACCAGGCAAGCCTAGAGGAGCCCCCATGCGGACTGGGCTGACCTCGTGGTGACCTTATGGTGACCTTATGGGGTTAGAACATGGAACTAACACAAAACAAGATGATACCCTCTAGTTATTTAACATAGCCATGGAAAATGGTCCATTTATAGATGATTTTCCCAGCTAGAAACCTCCATTTATGAGGATTTATGAGGGATTTTCCATGGCTATGTTAAATAACCAGATGATACATGGCTTAACGAAATATGGGAATAGCTACCCTCTGGTAAACATTTACATAACTATGGAAAATAATCATCTTTAATGGGTAGATATTGAAATCCATACTAACAATATGATCGAAGGAAGTTTAGAAGTCAAACTTCCGACAATATGGACAGATGAAAAGCAGAGATGGGAAGAGTCAGAGAGAAGAGAAGAGTAGAAGAGAGAAGATCAGAGAAGAGAAAGAGTCAGAAGAAAGAAGATGCAGATGCGCGAAAAGGTAGGAAAGTCGCGAAACACTGTGTTTTTTCCAATGATTTGTGGCTCCGGAGGGTCGAAAAGTAGGCTCGCTAAAGCGGCGGGTGCGGAGCCATCTGGCCAGATGAGAGATGAAAAATTGCACGCCGTTGTGGCGCGAAGCACATTTCGAAGTCAAAATGTACAAAGCATACCAGCTCCGGACCACTTTTGGAAGTTGAGATTTCGAAAAAGTGCACGCCGTTGTGGCGCGAAGCACATTTCGAAGTCAAAATGTACAAAGCACCACATGTTCGCGCCACTTTTTTCTCACAAATTGAGCAAAACGCGAGGGCTTTGTAGCATTTCCACAAACGATGGCAGGTGTGGGACATTTGAAGAGGGTCTGCAAAGATGCATTTTCCATGGCAGGCGCAGTACAAGAGACATGTTCATCAGAGCTGTTGGGAGGTCCGGGCGCTGATTTCCTGAGAGGGGTTGCATTTTGGAGCATCAGATCTTCAGGTTTGCTGAGATGATTTTGCGTGACACGCGCGGCACTTCGTATGACCTGGCATCACTTTTTCGTGGCAGGCGCAGTAGTTTAGACACATGGACTGGAAAAATCGCAAAACGCTCTGCACTTAACTTTCCATTTTTGAAGGAATTGCTTCGTTTTTGATGTTGTCAACTTCGAAAAATGAGGAAGTGTCGCGGAATTGCTTCGTTTCTGACGTTGTCAAGTTCAAAAATTGAGGATGTCTTGCAGAATTTCTTCGTTTTTGACGTTGTCAACTTCAAACATTGAGGAAGTCTTGCAGAATTTCTTCGTTTTTGACGTTGTCAACTTCGAACATTGAGGAAGTCTCGCAAAATTGCTCTGTTTTTTTTGACGTTGTCAAGTTCAAAAATGGAGGAAGTCTCGCAGAATTTCTGCGTTTTTGATGTTGTCAACTTCAAACATTGAGGAAGTCTCGCAGAATAGCTTCGTTTTCAAGCTTGCAGATAGACAGATAGATAGACAGACAGACAGGCAGACAGACAGACAGGCAGAGAGAGAGAGAGAGATAGATAGATAAATAGATAGATAGGTAGATAGATAAATAGATAGGTAATTAGATTAGAGAGAGAGAGATATATATATATATAAATAGACAGATAGATAAATAGATAGATCGATCGATAGATATATAGATACATAGATAGAGAGGTAGGTAGGTCGGTCGGTCGGTAGGTAGGTAGGGTAGGTAGGTAGTCAGAGAAAGAGAGAGAAAGAGAGTAGACCTCAACCACCTTTCGGTCCATCAGTGGGTTCGCTCTGCCATCCGTGATTCACAACAACCAATCTCTCCTATAGGTTTCCTATTTCTGAAACTTCCGCCACCGCCTTGTGCGGTACTACTGGTATTCTATTGATAGAACTAACTAACTAACGAAATATGGGCATAGTTGGTATTGATTTAAATGTACTATTGTTAGTTCGATCAATAGAACTAACTAAGAATATGGGAATAGAATTAACATATGAACAATATTGATAGAACTAACAATAGAAACATGGCTGTGTCTGAACATGGGAATTTAACTGGCGATGTATGAGAATATAATTGGTATTTAATGAGAATATAAAGGGATATACAGCCAACAACTATAGGTAGTGGTGTGTGTGTGTGCAAATGTGGTATGCCTCCAAGCATTGAAAAAGGGTGATTGATCATCAAATTTGGAGGTACCGTCTCTTCAGATAAACCCAAATGACCAAACGTGGTGGTTCACGACAAGTCTGAAATCATGGTTCTCATGAAACTACCCACTTCTTGTACGTTGTTTTTCTGGGATGATAGGGTAATTCGACTTTTTGAGATAAAGGGACAGGATATTGCAGATTTCTTTGGTGAAAATGAATGTGGATTTCCGCTTCGGCTCAAAATTCTCTAGCCTAATTTTGTTGGATTCTTGTTGGTGGTATCCCCACGTTTGGGCCACTAAAGCATCCAATTATTTGCCCTTCAAAATTACTAGCCCAAAAAATGGAGCGACCTGCAGGAGCCGAAGACTGCCAGGCCTTGAAGTTGGGGTTGGGGGCTGGGTGAGAGCCTAAGTCTATCCAGTGGTGAGCTGAGCGCTTCAGAGCTATGGCTATGCAGGCTATGCATATTTCCTATTCAATGAAGCCAAGGAGCTGCTAGGAGTTTCCTACCCACATTCAAAATGTCGAACACAGAGACACAAATCGATCCCAGAAAAAGAACATGTTGAGCCACCCACTTAAGTGCTGCCAGGGTGGAGGAAGTAGCCCCTGAGGGTGCCAAACTTAGTTGCAGATACACTTCTGCGGTTGTGTCACCAACCAATTGTAGGGGCGTGCCCACTTTTGAGCTCTACCCACAGCTGTCTCTTGATATGGTTCAACTCTATGAATTGTGCAGTTGCTACAAAGGAGAAGAACAGAAAAGTCAAAGTCTACTGGTATGTTCTGCTGATTGAACCAGAGAGTTCGAACAGAAAAACAACAGATTTAGTAGAGACTTAGTTGTATCTGAAGCACGCAAGTAATTTGATCTCGTGGTCCTGCCATGTGCCTTGAGTTGTTTTGGAACAACTATTGATTGGCGACTCATGTTAGAGCATGTTTCATGAAGGGGTTTGGGCTCAGTCTCGCCAAGTGTGGTCTGCTCGGCAACTCATCCCCAAAGCCATGGTTCAATGCGTTGGCGCAGGGTGTGTCAAAAAGGCCAGGCCCGATGGCGTTTGGTGCTATGGCCATTGCCGCGGCAAATGCGAGTGGCAAGGGTGCCAGAATCCACAAGCACCTGGTTCCAGGTATTGCTCCGGTACTTGTTCAAATGATCGGTACCTCGAGCCGAAGTGTGCCACTGTGGGATGTGTCCGGCGCTCAACGACGACATCGCGGTGGTGTGGCCCCTACTACTGCAAGGACTACGAGGGGAGGCCAATGAAAGCACCACCAGAAGCATACGGCGGGGCGTGAATGCTACCAGGGCACACTGCCGTAGCCCGCCAACTTGCCCTTCCCGCTTGAACCGTTGTTTCTGAGATTCTGAATGCATCCTGTAGATTGGGGTCCAGGGTCAGAAAAGCACAGAGATAGACTCAGATAGACGCCCACGGAAAAAGTCATCGTGCAGGAGCTGCTTGGGTGAGCCAAAGTTTCTTGTCATGCCTTTTACCCAACAGTGAACTTGCTTTTCCCATGCCAAGGCGTGGACGAGCAGGCCAGTCCTGTGGGCAGCGGACGGGCTGCCAATCCAGGGGTTGCTGCACTGAACGTCCTAGCCTGGTATACCAGGAATTTTGGTCAGAATGGTGCAGAAGTGTTTTTTTCTTGTGGGATGGCAATCATTCTCTTGCGTGCTTTTGCTCTCCAGGCAGCCGAGCCTGGCCGGCGGCATGGCAGAGGTACGTTACGGATCGCTTTGATGGCCGTCCTTCCGGTTGGTGTCAACCAAAGGAGGATATACAGTAACCAGCAATACTTTGGGAGCTGGTGGGCACAAGCGAGCGAGAGAGAGAGAGGAGGGAGAGAGAGAGAGAGAGATATGCAGGGAAAAGAAGAAAGAAGGAAAAGGAGAGAGAAGAAGGAGAGGGAGAGTGACAGACAGACAGACAGACAGGCAGGCAGGCAGGCAGGCAGGCAGGCAGACAGAGAGACAGGCAGACAGACAGACAGACAGACAGACAGAGAGACAGGCAGGCAGGCAGGCAGACAGCCAGGCAGGCAGGCAGACAGGCAGGCAGGCAGACAGGCAGGCAGGCAGACAGGCAGACAGACAGACAGAAAAGGGAAGAGAGAGAGAGAGAGAGAAAAAAAAAAATGAAACAAAGGAGAGGGAGAAAAGGCGAGAGAGAAAAGGCGAGAGAGAGGAGAGGGAGAGGGAGAGAGGGAGATTTAGATATCATATAGAGGTACTCCCAAAGAACGCAACGATGACTTAATGGCGTTCAGATTTTTTAGATGGGTGAAACTGGCAACTAGCCTTGCAAAAAATGTGCGAATGCAAATATGAGCACTTGCGTGGGTCCGGTGAAGCCGCTGGCAATTTTTGACCCGAACCTTCTGGAAAATCAAGGGCGCCAGTGGATCTGGCACTTGCACTGGCACAGCAGAGCCATGTGGCCTCCTCGTGCTCAATCCCAAGTCCTCATGAACCAACCGCGCAGGTTCTAAGAGCCTGGCAGGAGCAAAAAAGAGGACTCTGACGGCTGAGCAGGGCGCACCGGATGCGGCACAGCACCGCAACTTGATCCACTGCAGCTTTTGTGGGTTTGACACATACCTTTCTATACCGCTCTACTTTTTCATCTGAACACCAGGGTGCTGATGGGGTGTCATCTATCACCATGTGGATATGGCCTGGCTAAACGGGACGGACCCTATTTCAAGATTTTTGTTGGCCCATTGGTACCACGGCTTCTTGCCATAGCCATACCTTGCTGTGCGACGCCCAAAAGAAGGAGGACAGTGACCTCCAATGTGAGAAGCACAACCACGCCCGGGGCCTTGATCACCTGTGTCCTGGGGCTGTGTGGAACCCTCCGTGGAACCTCCCAAACAAACAAAAAATCAGTGCTAGTGCTGGCGTTGGTTTCAACCTGAAAATGCAAATTTCCATGCCACAAGCGATGGTTGTTTCAGAAGCACCCATGTGGGCATTGGGTAAAATTGATTAGACATCCTACGTTGTATTATTAACGAACGAAGGATGAAGAAGCAATGTGGCACCCAGCACCTTACAGTTGGACTCTTGGACCCTCATTTTTGGTGAGTAGCTGTGAGTAGCTGTGAGTAGCTGAGTAGCTAAACATGTCAGTTTTGTGACAATCCCAATTTGTTGGTCACATTATTGCTGTCAGTCCCATGCAATGTTTGAGCATAGTTGATCTGCAGTAAAATTTGTGGATTTAAATCCCTATGTTTGCTGGTCAAATCCCAATATTTGAGTTAAATGGTTTTTCTGGAATTTGTTGGCGGAATCCCCACGAATTTGTTAGTCAATTCCATGATACTCCACTGTACCCTCTGGTAATTTAACATAGCTAGTGAAAATTGCCATTTATAGTTGATTTATCGATTTACCTATTAAAAATTGTGATTTTCCATAGTTATGTTGGTTTACCAAAGGGTATTCCTTTATTTTTCACAACCGCAATCGGCAGGTCTAGCGTGAGTGCAGGTGCCGAATCCCAAAGATTGACCCGAGAATGGGCAGTTTCTGTAGAGCTGGACGTGTCTGAAAATGGGGCAATATATGGGATTGGGAATTCTCTATGGAGATTTACAGGGATACATATATATATGTGTGCGTGTGTGTAACCAACACTTATGTGTAATCGATGTGCTCAAATTTTGGCTCTTGAACCCCAGCTATGGCCAAATAATGATCAACCATCAGATTCAGGGATACATCAAGTTGATTGGTTTGCGTTTAGCCATGTCATGCCATGTTGATTCAGGACTATTCGCCGTGCTTGCGGTCTCACAGAAAATTGATGATTTTTTGTTTTTACGGGTTGTTGAAGGCGGCCAGGACAATCAATACACCAATGACGAGAGGTTTGTAGATTACCCAATTTTTTCAGAGGAGATACGACTTGAACAGGTTTGCTCAAGAAACTATCATGGTGGCATTTACTCAAAAATATTGACCGACCCAAAAAGGTCCGTATTTATCCTCAAAAATCAACATGTCATGGGTCCATTGGTACGCCATTTTTGCGTCATAGCACATGACTACAATGATTGCAGATCGTACGAAGTAATGACCAGTTTCTCCATCGCAAGTGTCTTAATGATTTGAACCCCCTGTTTGCAAACCCATTGTAAGACATGAAATAATGGGTGCCAAAAAGAGACCACGGAGAGACCACGGAGATGTTACCGGATCAATATATATATACATATATATACATATATGCATATACACACATACTAGTGTATATATATATGCATATACACACACTAGTGTATATATATATATGTTACATGTATTTACACACATTGTATGTGGCATATGCATGTGCATTTGTATACATATTTACGTACTAGTTTGCATTCACATTTACATACCCGGATACGTATTCATATATATATATATATATTTACATAGCATTATACGTATACGTGTATCATTGTACATATGCATCATTATATATACATCATTACGTTTCATTATATACTGTATCATGTGTTCTATATTTACTTTTTTTGATATGATATATATATATTATCTAGTTATATATATATATACTTACATATATGCAGACCTTAGATTTAGTGTATGTTTTTATATTTCACCATATTTTACATACTGTACGTTGCTCTCCCGTCACCTTGCGTGCCCCAGGCGCTAAAGTTTCCACCAGGGCAAGCATGCCTGCGTCGCCGTCGCCTGGCAGCCTTTAGTTATAGATGGCAGATAATAGTTTAAAGACATAGAGACTATTGTGGTTGATGTGTGTTTGAAAAAAGTCATTTAATAGAGATTTAAGGATATAGTTCAGAAATAGGTTAAAATCATGATGTGCCAACGAGTTATAATCGATCGGTTTGTGATAGTCATTGAATAACCATTGTTATTTGTACTTATTTGTTGGAGGTGCCACCAAAAATTCACCCAGCTTTGCAACCCAGTCTTCGGGCTTCCAGGTTTCCAGGTTTCCAGGCGTCCAGGCCAGCCCAACGGTCACTCCTGTTTGCAAGATATTAAAAAAGACATCTTGCATGAATTATGTAATGGGGACTTTCACCATCGAAAAGATGGAGACTTAACTTTTTGCCCCTGCTGATGGATGAGTTAACATGATTTAACGGGGTTTTAACTCGCACATATGGATAGGATACGACGAATGATAGATGTAGGGTTTTAACATCACATATATAGGCACTGTATGGCATTGTTATTGTTAACCGCCAAGAGTGTGTAATTCATAAAGGAGGGCCATTTATTTAGGGATTTTTTTTTTTTAGTTTAGGGAATTTTTTTTGGATTTCTTCCTGCTTACTCTATTGCCTCCTGCAGTGCTTCTCTGCTTCTTTGCTTCTATTCCTTTTTTTGTTTTTTTTGCTTTTCTTTGCTTTTTTGCTTTTTTGCTTCCCTTGCTTTTCTTTGCTTTTTTGCTTTTTTGCTTTTTTGCTTTTCTCGCTTTTCTGCTTTTCTTTGCTTTTTTGCTTTTCTTGCTTTTCTTTGCTTTTTTGCTTTTCTTGCTTTTTTGCTTTCTTTTTTGCTTGCTTTTCTTTGCTTTTTTGCTTTTCTCGCTTTTCTGCTTTTCTTTGCTTTTTTGCTTTTCTTGCTTTTCTTTGCTTTTTTGCTTTTTTGCTTTTCTTTGCTTTTTTGCTTTTCCATGAGGTGTGGAGCAACATCTTCTATCCATCTATATCCATCTATATCTATCTATATCTATCTATATCTACGTATCTATATCTATCTATGTCTATCTATATCTGTATCTATATCTACATCTATGGCTGTATCTATATATCTATATACCTATATATATATCATATATCTATATAATTATCTATATATCTATATATCTATATATATCTATATATCTATATATATATATATATATATCTATATATCTATATCTCTATATATATATATCTATATATCTATATATATCTCTATATATCTCTATATATATCTATATATATATATCTCTATATATATCTATATCTAGATATCTATATACATATATATCTATCTATCTATATATCTATCTACCTATCTATCTATCTATCTATCTAATTATCTATCTATCTATCTATCTATCTATCTATCTATCTATCTATACATATCTATCTATATATCTATATATCTATATCTCTCTATATATATACTATATATCTATATATCTATATATATATATCTATATATCTATATCTCTCTATATATATATATTTATTTATATACCACCATATATCTACATATCTGTATATATCTATCTATATTTCTATATGTATATATACATATATCTTTATATCTATATATCTTTAAATATATATATATCTATTTATCTATATATCTATATCTATATATATATCTGTATATATATATATATCTACCTAAAAGGTTTGCATTATCATGCGGATGATATTCAAACCCCAAGCCAACCCTGAA